CCATTTTTGCACTCAGGTCTAAGTCTCATGGCCCTCTATCAGAATCCAGAGTTTTGGGAAGATTGGAGAAACTTAATTTTTCGCCCAAAAAAAAAAAACGTAAGGGGTACCACTGTCGTTTTTTTTTCGGGCCGAATTTTTGAGTTTCCATATCTCAGCTCTGGAAGGGGCTAGAGCCTCCATTTTTGCACTCAGGTCTAAGTCTCATGGCCCTCTATCAGAATCCAGAGTTTTGGGAAGATTGGAGAAACTTAATTTTTCGCCCAAAAAAAAAAAACGTAAGGGGTACCACTGTCGTTTTTTTTTCGGGCCGAATTTTTGAGTTTCCATATCTCAGCTCTGGAAGGGGCTAGAGCCTCCATTTTTGCACTCAGGTCTAAGTCTCATGGCCCTCTATCAGAATCCAGAGTTTTGGGAAGATTGGAGAAACTTAATTTTTCGCCCAAAAAAAAAAAACGTAAGGGGTACCACTGTCGTTTTTTTTTCGGGCCGAATTTTTGAGTTTCGATATCTCAGCTCTGGAAGGGGCTAGAGCCTCCATTTTTGCACTCAGGTCTAAGTCTCATGGCCCTCTATCAGAATCCAGAGTTTTGGGAAGATTGGAGAAACTTAATTTTTCGCCCAAAAAAAAAAACGTAAGGGGTACCACTGTCGTTTTTTTTTCGGGCCGAATTTTTGAGTTTCGATATCTCAGCTCTGGAAGGGGCTAGAGCCTCCATTTTTGCACTCAGGTCTAAGTCTCATGGCCCTCTATCAGAATCCAGAGTTTTGGGAAGATTGGAGAAACTTAATTTTTCGCCCAAAAAAAAAAAAACGTAAGGGGTACCACTGTCGTTTTTTTTTCGGGCCGAATTTTTGAGTTTCGATATCTCAGCTCTGGAAGGGGCTAGAGCCTCCATTTTTGCACTCAGGTCTAAGTCTCATGGCCCTCTATCAGAATCCAGAGTTTTGGGAAGATTGGAGAAACTTAATTTTTCGCCCAAAAAAAAAAAACGTAAGGGGTACCACTGTCGTTTTTTTTTTCGGGCCGAATTTTTGAGTTTCGATATCTCAGCTCTGGAAGGGGCTAGAGCCTCCATTTTTGCACTCAGGTCTAAGTCTCATGGCCCTCTATCAGAATCCAGAGTTTTGGAAAGATTGGAGAAACTTAATTTTTCGCCCAAAAAAAAAAAAACGTAAGGGGTACCACTGTCGTTTTTTTTTCGGGCCGAATTTTTGAGTTTCCATATCTCAGCTCTGGAAGGGGCTAGAGCCTCCATTTTTGCACTCAGGTCTAAGTCTCATGGCCCTCTATCAGAATCCAGAGTTTTGGGAAGATTGGAGAAACTTAATTTTTCGCCCAAAAAAAAAAACGTAAGGGGTACCACTGTCGTTTTTTTTTCGGGCCGAATTTTTGAGTTTCGATATCTCAGCTCTGGAAGGGGCTAGAGCCTCCATTTTTGCACTCAGGTCTAAGTCTCATGGCCCTCTATCAGAATCCAGAGTTTTGGGAAGATTGGAGAAACTTAATTTTTCGCCCAAAAAAAAAAAACGTAAGGGGTACCACTGTCGTTTTTTTTTCGGGCCGAATTTTTGAGTTTCCATATCTCAGCTCTGGAAGGGGCTAGAGCCTCCATTTTTGCACTCAGGTCTAAGTCTCATGGCCCTCTATCAGAATCCAGAGTTTTGGGAAGATTGGAGAAACTTAATTTTTCGCCCAAAAAAAAAAACGTAAGGGGTACCACTGTCGTTTTTTTTTCGGGCCGAATTTTTGAGTTTCGATATCTCAGCTCTGGAAGGGGCTAGAGCCTCCATTTTTGCACTCAGGTCTAAGTCTCATGGCCCTCTATCAGAATCCAGAGTTTTGGGAAGATTGGAGAAACTTAATTTTTCGCCCAAAAAAAAAACGTAAGGGGTACCACTGTCGTTTTTTTTTTCGGGCCGAATTTTTGAGTTTCGATATCTCAGCTCTGGAAGGGGCTAGAGCCTCCATTTTTGCACTCAGGTCTAAGTCTCATGGCCCTCTATCAGAATCCAGAGTTTTGGGAAGATTGGAAAAACTTAATTTTTCGCCCAAAAAAAAAAACGTAAGGGGTACCACTGTCGTTTTTTTTTCGGGCCGAATTTTTGAGTTTCGATATCTCAGCTCTGGAAGGGGCTAGAGCCTCCATTTTTGCACTCAGGTCTAAGTCTCATGGCCCTCTATCAGAATCCAGAGTTTTGGGAAGATTGGAAAAACTTAATTTTTCGCCCAAAAAAAAAAACGACAGTGTTATCCCTTTTATTTTATTTTTCGGTGGGTTAAAATTTTGAGTTTCTCTGATCTTCTTGAAACTCTGGATTCTGATAGAGGGCCATGAGACTTAGACCTGAGTGCAAAAATTGAGTCTTTAGACCCTTCCTGAGCTGAGATATTGAGATCCTGATTTAATACGTGCAAATCTACGGTTGATTTTGATTTTGAAGTTCAACCTTTCTATTTTACATACAAACTATGAAATACTGGCAAAAATATATACAAAATGTAAATACACCTTAGAAAATGTTGCTTGCTTCTGTGTTTGGAGTGAAGTGCTGCCATGCTTCTCTTCAAAGTAGAGTTTTTTTTATATATAATTACTACATGCAGAGCTTTACTGGCATTTGATTGGATGACAAACGTCCAATCTGATGGACTGCAGGTTTTAAACTAGGAGAAATGCTCCAGAAGTTAAAAAAAGGGGGCTGACATGTGATGTCCATTGTAATGGACACAGGGTCTGAATTTAAGCAGTTTTACCATTTGCTAACTTCCTCCAGACTGCTGTTGAATCAGGCCACGCCCTCTTTTCAAACCCCGCCCCCAAAGTACGAGTCACATCCAGACAGCATTACTAATTGGCTAGAAAAGGCACAGGCCACTCCCCTTTCTTTGCGGTTTACAGAGTCTGTGCAACAATCTCAGTCTATGGATTGTTTACGGCAGCTTTAATCAAAGTTGAGCATAAAGACACACAGTCAGAGTTCTAAAGCCAAAATGTCCATGTTTTATTGGTAAAGAGCGTCTGTGCAGCGAATGGCTCACACCCACAGTTAAGCATTTGCCACAACCTTTGACCCGGAACTGATGGCCAACCAACTATAGCTCTCCACAGCCAACCCACACAGCATCAACAGAGAAACCAAATCAACTAAAAATACTCAGTACAAATAAATAGGTAAACTGATGAAGAACAAAGCCGATATCAGCAGGACTGTATTTTTTTATGCAAAAAAGACTAATTTTAAATTTTTTTGTTTAAATTTTTGCTTTTTGTTTTTCTTGAGGAGTTTGTTGTTCTAAAGACAGAATAAGAGAAATATATGAGTGAATCTCACAAAACCGGCTAAGAACTGGTTTCGGGTCAAATTTCACCCCAAAATCTTGTTTTATTTTGTTTAAAAATATGAATAAAACCCATTATTCGTTTTGTTTGTTTGTTTTTTGTTTGGGCGATGTGTCATTTTCATAACAGATTTTTTATTTTGCATTATGGGACAATTTATTTGAAAAAAAAAAAACGAGAGAATAATAATTCTTCTCAACATTGCAAAAAAATAAAAAATTATATATATATATGATTGTAGTACTTGTGCAATTACATTTTTTTGAAATTATTTTTATTTATTAAAGTTTACACAAAAAAATGGGAATTACAAACAAGATATCAAGATGTTAATAATAATAAGCATTAATAATAAGTAGGAAAATCAGTAAAATGTCACAAAGCATTAAAAAACTGCATTATTTTTCTCTAAGCACAACATCATTTTGTTCATTTGATACTGTGGTGAAATATGACCTGTTTTCATGAGATTCACCCATAAATAGAGAGAGAAATGCAGATAGTTTCCAAAAAGCTTCGTTCTGTTTCAAATCCTGAAGAACGCGTGTTCTGCTCATGGTAAGTCAAAAAATAGAGAATATTTACATCTTTAGATTATATACATGGCAATATATGAACACATGGTCAGTGTGAGAACGTGATAGAGAGAAAGACCCACCACATCAAGAGTCGCAGTGATGAAACTGCTTCAAAATACAATCTTTCTGTGCTGCTGATTCAGAAACAGCTTCCATGCCTTGTCTTACAATACACTGCAACATGGGTCTCTGTCTTCATCTCACAGCCAGTGAAATCAGCTTTCTGAAACGGGGAAAGGTTTAGATGAATTGTCTCTCAGTAGCCGTAAGGGTATAGTGTGATTTTTCTGACCGCAGAGAGGATGCATAGAGGAGAACAACAACCTGCTACAGGACGAAACACACATGTGAACTCTGACACACTGTCTGGGGCAGGTAAGGGGTTAGCCGTTTTGCATTTCACAAGTTTATATGATAAAATAGAGGTAAGGAAAGGTTAAAAGTGAGGTTTGCTGGCTATAACGCCTGTCTGCGTCAACTACACTTGTAGTTGATGTATGTTAGCAATATGCTGGTGTACCCTTAAAAAAAACTCCAAAACAATCCGATTTATATATATGCATATGCATTTAAAATGTAGACTATGTCTCATCTTGCACCAAAAATGCTCTCTAGAATTAGAATTTTTCTCACCCAATACGGCTAATTGGCCACATCAAGGTTCAATCGTGGCAACTGCTTTATCATTGCGCTTGGAATTATACAAAATCAATACCATTCAATAGGGAAAAAAAGCTCAAATTTTGGATCCGGGTTCAATGCAAACATGCCAGCATGTGTATTCATAAGGTCATCTCGTATCTTTCCCAGCTCAATGTGCAGTTTTCAGGCGTCGGGGACACAAAGCGAGGCAGAGAACACGTTCCTCACATTAACTAACCTTTTGCTTATGTGATTCTGACGTAATGCTGCTCTACCTATGTGCCGCATCAGCCGACGAGGGTCAGGTGCTACAATAAGCTTTTAAGAGCATTTCCTGGCAATGATGTTGTTGCTTAGCAACTCCACTGGATATTCAAACACAATCAGCTTTCATACTGTAGGGAGAAAGAGGGGAAGCAATACAAGAAACAGAAAAAAATATATAGTTTGTCCTATAATTCCATTATGAAGAATAGCAGGGAGACATTTGAGAGGGATATAATGTCCTCGGGTTGCCGAGCTATGTATAGCACTTCAACAAAAATGAATAATGTCGAACTAGATTCAATGGAGAAAACAATCGCCCAGTTGGTCAAATGAAGTCCAGCCCGATTATTGAGAATTCCCACCATTTGCAAAAGGATGAATCAGTTTTAACAACAACAATTTGATAAAAAGATGATGAATTGGAAATTAAAAACCGATTAAAGTTTAATGCAGCAATTACAATAATACACGCATGTGTACTCTACTCCAGTTAATGGCACATTGCACATTGTTATTATACAACTTCAAAAGCCATTCAAGAATGAGGAACTTGATCAATAGATCGCTTTATGTAGTCAGCAGTTGGCGTATGGCTCCCACGAAGGGTCTCTTCAAAGAAAATACTCTCTGAAGGTGAGGCATACAAGTTTGGCCAACCGGATGGCTAACGTTTCATCTGAAGTGAGCGGTATTCCCGTTCCCTGAACCCTGAACCCTTGAACCCAAACCCACTGATTTGGTCTATAAACAGTATACTTGAAAATCTTTACATAAGATTACATGTCATATTGCAAAATCTTTCGTCAGAAAAATCGGGACATTTTCACAATGTCTTTCGTTCTGTCTCTGTTAAAAATCTAAAATTTTCAAGTCAATGAAATTCTCCTGTGCTGCGTATCCCAGTATATTTCGAAGCTTTAATACAGCTTATTTTAAAGTCAACAAGAACTCAAAATGGACACTGTTTACTTTCCTAACACACATTCCTGGCCTTATTGTGCACGATTCAACTGTGCACATTATGCCAAGCCAAAAAAACAACACAAAAAAAAAAAATATCCAGATTTTTTTTTTTTTTTTTTATCAAACTGTAACCTGCTCCGCCTCTGAAACGACTTTCCGTTTCGGCTAGAATCACAAATCCCTCCTGGCTCCATTTTGGCACACACACTTTTCACGATCCAATCAATTCCCGATGGATAAAGTCAAGCATCCATGTTTCACATAGAAATACCGAAATGGCGTTTCATGTCGGCTTTAAGTCCAGATACGTTCAGCGCACATCAAAAACACCCAATGCCAGTGAAATAGCCCTTACACACTGCTGTTACTCTTCATTTCAGCGCTGACAGGAGGAAAGACAAACATATGACACTCACAATCTCTTCAAACGTAGATATGCACAGAGAGTTTGCACTATGGCGGCTTGTTGGGAGGTACTATGGTACCTTTGCTGAGGACAACAGCCAAGTAACTCTTATTGTTCACAGGGAAAGGCTTCTTCTCTAGGTATGATGTGTGTGTCACCCTGAAACAGAGTTCAGATCTCTGAGCTTATGAACTGATCCTCACTTGTGCTAGATTCAGAAGCAGAGTGAACATGAGCATGTATTCTGGATCACAGCAGTTTAAGTCTTTATTTCTGAATTAGTCTCACTTAATACAGTCCCTTACACACACACACACATGTACACTACCTACCGAGGTGAGTACAATGAATAATGATGTCAACCTCTGGCGAGTGTAAATGTGTGTATGCTTTTATACAGGTCTGTTAGCTGCTGCTGTACATCGGTGTGTGTGTACTCTGTGTCGCTGGACTGTGGCAAACCAACACTTAAGTAATTACACTACTTTAATATAGACTATATTTTTTATACGCGGACACAACTCAAAAAGAACTGCAAAAAAGACGCTTGCTTTGGCACAGGTGTACTCAATAGCGCCATGTCCACTTCAGTAAAACCCCGTCTCTCTGTTCACTGAACGGAATATTCCATAGAATCTGTCGGAAAGGGATGGAGTTCCATAATGTCAAAGACTTGACAGTCACACTGGCGTAAAAACCAGTGTACTTCCCTTCCTGCGCGTGTGTGTGTGTGTGTGTGATCAGATCTGGGTCTCCTGAACGCTCTCCTTGGAGCCATTCGATAGCAACAGCGGCTCAGTCTGCATATTGGGAACGTGACTAAGGCCTTTCAGAGTTCCATGGAAAGTCATCGCCATTGGGATGGGCATTGGCAGGGGAGGGGAGGTCGAGCCAGGGATGATGTCACCGGTCCCTATTTTCATGGTCGAAGCCTGATTTTGGGAGGTAAGATTGGGTTTGTTGTTGAGCATTCCAGTCGCCATGTTTAAGCCCAGCACGTTGTTGTTAAAGTGGTGCGCTTTGTAGTAGTGGTTCAGGTGATCCGATTGCCCAACGCTCGGCAGGGTGATGATCTCGGGGTCATGGATCCTGGGACTCTGCCCGCTTCCTCCACCCGTTCCCGCTCCAGTGTGGACGGTGCTCCCTCCTGTGATGCCACTGGCTCCTGCAGACCCAATCTCATCTTCGACGTTGATGATCTCAATGGCGCGCGCCGGGCCATGGTGTTTGTGCAGTTGGTGCTGCTTGCGGAGCTTGTAGAAGACGACCAGCATCACGGCCGCCATGAAGGTGATGGCCACAAAGCAGCCTATGATGATCTTAGTTGTCTTCATTACGTCCTCAAGACCCGACAGGTTGGCAACGTCTGTGATGGAGACGGTGAACGGGCGATCGGGTGCACGCGTAGTTCGTGGTGACATGGAGGACAGCATCGAACTAGTGGGACCTGCTGATGCCGATGTGGCCGGCGATCCCGGAAAGCTAATGATGGTCTCGTTGACGAACTGCCGAGCTGATTCGTGCCCCTCTTGCCCCGTCTCTACGGTTTCGACAGTGACAGTTGTGAAGTAGCTGTAACCACTGCCTGGATCAGGAGCTGAGACGTTCAACACAGCAGTCGCTGTGGTGTTGCCAGCAGAGTTGGTGACCATACAGGTGTATGGTCCGGTGTCTTGCATGGTCACATTGGTGAAATTCAAGGTTCCGTCATGCAGGACAGAGATCCGGACCTTGTACGCTCCATGGGTCATCAAGGTCCCATTGGGGGTCAACCAATTCACAGAAGTCATGGATGTCCCGCTGCGGCATTTTAGCTCCGCCGCCATTCCCTCGGTCACGTTCAGGTCCGTTGGTGGCTCCACAATCACAGGTGCATAGCAGGTGAAGTCTCTCTGGTCAAGGTCACCGATGTACCTGCCCTTAGTACCTGGTGGGGCATGGCATCGTGCGCAACAAGTGGAGTTATCAGGTACGGTTTCTTTGAGCCACCAGCTCAACCACAGCACATCACAGTTGCAAACCCAAGGGTTGTGGTTCAGATGGACACGCTCTAACTGCTGCAGTGGAGTGAAGAGGTCGTGTGGCAATGAATGCAGAGAGTTATGCGACAGATTGAGCTCCTCCAGGTTCTTGAGGTCATCAAAGGCATTCCTCTCAATGACAGAGATCCGAGAGTGCATGAGCCACAGTTTGCGTAGGGACACCAGGCCTTGGAACGATCCAGGACGCACCACGCCCAGCTGGTTTCCCGACAGCTCCAGTTCCTCTAACCGCACGAGAGGCGTCAAGTTGGGTACGTCCTTAAGCCCGCACATGCCCAGATTCAGGAAACGTAGGTTCAGCAACCCTTCGAATGCGGCCTCCGAGATGAAACTGAGTTTGCGCAACTCACCGAGGTCTAACCGTCGCAGTGACGGCACGCGGTGGAAGGCGTACGCTGGGAGTGTCTCTATGGGGTTGTTCCTCAGCCAGAGTTCACGAAGCTTGCTCAGGTACTCGAATGCCTGTGATGGCACCAGTGGGAGTCTGTTGTCAAAAAGCTCCAGGGTGATGAGATTGGGAAGGCCATTGAACGCTCCCACTTCTATCTGACGAATCTGGTTCTTAGACAACTGTAAAATCTCCAGATGATTTAGGTGCTTGAAGGTGTCTGACCTGATCAACTGCAGAAGAAGAAGAAGAGAGGATGTAGTTAGTTGCAACATCTTCTGAATCTATATTGTTAAGCTTTAGCCTGTTCTGCAGAACCCACGAATGTTGCATCTTTGTTACTTTGCTCTATTTCAGTATTTGCGTATGCGTGACCATCTGTCACTCTGTGATTGGAGATGACTGATCTACAATGCCTGATGGTTGTAGGATTAAAGGGTCTAACTAATAGCTTGTAGTATGTTGAACAATAGGGCTCGGCAATTCATTGCGAGAAATCCATCATTTTCATTTGTAGCTAATTTCGGCATGCAGTTTTCATGAAGGAAACGTATATTTAGGGTATTACCTGTATGGAGTTCTCCTGGAGGTTGAGGTATCGCGTATTGGACGAGATACTCTGTGGGACTTCATTTAAGCCTTTTCTGGTACAGATCACTCGACTGGCTTGATTGGAACAGCTACAGGGATTGGGGCAGGCGGGACTGGCTTCAGCCAAGCGAGGTCCAAGGAGGTGTGGCCACAACAACAGTTGGACCAACCAGATGAGGGGGGAGGGGCTGAAAAGGCCTGTTACGATAGCAGCCTGCATGGCAACTGAATCATGTCCTGCCCCTTTCCTAAACAAAACAAGGCAAATAGTGAGCACCCGCAAAACTTCTTAAATGTTAATTTTAGGAAAAGTAATAAATATGGAAGTGTATTTTGAATGACTACATCCACAAAACAAGAAAGAGAATTAACTTTTTTTACGATTAACTTGTGGAATCAGGTATCTTGTGGCATCAAAGTGTAATCCACACAGTTGTCAACAGCCCTGGATGCTGCTACGGGAGTCTTCTGCTTGCCATCACAATCATCACAGTCAGCATTGGCCTTGCTTACTGGAAGAAAAAACACGGGACGGGGAACGCGAGAGAGAGAAAGAGAGAGGACGAGAGAGGTCAAAAACTGCATATATGTACAGCTTATCGTATTTCATATAGCTCAGGCTGTGAGGGTAAGTACATCAGCAACTAAAAACTGTGACCTGTGCAACTAAATGCTGTGACCTCTAGCCCAGTCAAAGCAGAATTAGAATTTCAGTTCACCTTCTCATTTATGACTTATAAACATTGAACAGCCACAGCTGTAGGTAATAACACAGTCTTTCTTTTTCAACCTCCCAGACTTGGATTGGTCTGGCCTTGACTGAAAAAAATGTGAGGTTTAATATTTAATTTGACTGGTTGAAGGCAACAGGTTTGTGCGGTCAGAACAATGTCTAGCTCTAAAAATATATATATATAAATGAGTATTCTTTATTAATGTGCGGTTCTGTAAACATAAAAAGTAGAATAATGAGAAATAATTAATATACAATCATATTCGCATTTTACTAATGTAAATGAAAACAGACATTTTATACAAACTGTGCAAAGAAATGTGTGTGTGCAACCAGTGGTAAACAACTCTCATGTCTGAACACTGATGTTTACAAGGAATAAATAGAGAATAATGACGAATGTTGGATGACGGTAATGCAATAGCAGCAGAATTTGTTTGTATAAACAGCTTTACAATTAAAACTTTGGCAGAATGGTGGGAAAAAAACAAATGTTAGCAAATGCTGCCTATATTTATTCAAATGTTTTTTTTTTTCTGAATTGTACTCACTTTTTAATTCGTTTTTATATATATATATAAATCATAAACCAGACCAGTCTTTAAGTCTTTTAGCTTTAAGGTGTAAGATGGGCCAGAAATGAACTCTAAACCAAAAGCTTGACACCACCATGTTTATGAATTACTGACATCAAAATGGAAACCATTATAGACACAGAAAAAGAAAGAAAAGATTTACATGCAAAGTGGAATTGAGATAACATGGGCAAAATGCAGGTGTTACGATCTTTTTCTTTTTCACTTTAAACTATGTGACATTTACCTAAAACAACAGGTTTTAAGGCGCTAAACATGAACTCGCACATTTATTAGAGACATAATCTGTGTAAGATCATGCACTCATTCAAAACGATCAAAAATCATCCAACAAACCCAAGGCACAAGAAAAACATGTTTGCGTTACATTTGAAATGATCACTTTTTTTTATCGATTTTGACATCAAAGCAGGCATGCGCAGAACACATGCGCACAGACAGTGAAGAAGCCGCCAAAGCACCGCTAAGGGTATTTCGCCATGCAGAGCAAAGCCGAGGTAATGAAGCTAATGCCAGTCGGGTTTGTTTCAAAAGTTTACGACCTTTAATTGATAACAGAGCACGTTTATTAATTATAAAGTAAGATTGTGCATGCAAACACACACACCGTCCTACATCATTGTTAAAATTAATCCAAAGAAAGTTGGAAAAAAAATACAATTTTAATGCATCGTTTTGTTCTATGGCTCTAACATCTTTGTCCATCATCACCCACAGGCGCATCTTTACTGTGTGTGTGTGTGTGTGTCACAGGTGCGGTGGTGCAGCTTCACTGTAACCATGACAACGCTAAATTGATTTGCAGATGCTGGATGTCGGAATCCGGTTGGGTGGCGGCGCTCTGTTTGCACTACGGCTTCGTTAAAACCAGCCACGGGCCAAAAAACGAGTCAAATGCATGGATTAAACATCTTTTTCATAAGCCATTATATTGATTATTAATTAACCTTCATAAGGCATCAGATGCAGCGCACTCCATCATGCCAGAGACTGCAGTGGGTCTGATGCTCTTATGTGAGAGTAAATCGGTGCATCTGAATGCGTTAGTGACTGCGGCGTCTTAACGGAGACCGCCGTACGCGCGTGAAATACACAAGTGAGGCCCCGACACGCGCGCGCGCGCGCTGCCTCGAAGACGCGCAACAAAATGGCACACGGGTGTCTGTGTAATTCACGGATAATGAGAAAGAAAAATGCAAATCAAGCCAAGCCATCATTAACTCAACTGCGAAATCAACGGCCAGATTCGTTGCTATGAATAAATACTGAAGTAAATAAACTGACTAGCTAAATAAATAAATAAACGAAACGAATGCCGAATGAAAGATCTTACCGTTCTCCTCTCATGCATCCATCACATCCTCCGGATCCTCTTCTAATGAATCATGTTGGACACGAGGAAACCTAAATCAAACCAATTCCCGTCAATCCCACAGCATGAATAATAACCAAACCTATTGATCAGTTCCACAGCATTTGAGATCATCCATCATGATGATCAAATGTACATTGTACCTTTTCCTTTCTCCTCGCGCCGACTCGACGAATCCTCTTCTAATGATTTTGCTCCCGTTGATTCGGTGTCTCTCGCAGATCCGGAGCGCGTCAGTGCGCGCGGACACGGTGAATATATAGTTAACAGATCATACCACCGCTGGGAGAGAGAAAAAAACGACGCAATCGCTCGCTGTAAAGTGTAAAAATCGAATGTAATTTGATTATCCGGGGTACGAGGCGTACAAACCTACTGGCGCATTTTTGTAAGTGTATGCAGGCAGCTCGCGCGCGTCGTGGCCGCACACAGGACTGATGCTGCACCCAGCGCAACATCTTACGCAAAGTCCGTAGCCACGGTCCTGAATACAGCGACCACTGAGACATGCACAAAACACACCTGCTCTAGCCTGTTTCCATACATCCGTGCATACACACTGTTTCATCCGCAGGGACGGCTGGGATTGGGATCATGCCTCGCCTGCTACTACTTAGACATTTGGTTCTGAGCTGCTTTTGCTTCAGAGTTCACCCTGCAGAAATGCATCTTGCAAAAGAAAAGAAAACATTGAAATGGGTTAAAAAGCCCCAAAATATGCAAAATCATTAACAGGATATTGATTAAACAAATGACTACACTGGTGTAAAAATGTCTTCAGGATTTTGTTGGGGTTTTTTTTGTTTTTTTTTTGCTCACAGCAAGTTAATTATTTAATGTCATCTGGGTCATATTTTCTTGTACCTTGTGTAGTTTTGTGCATGTTTTTGAGGATGAAGGCGTCATAAAACTTTGACATCAAATGTGACTCTAACTGCACCAAAATAGAGTTTTATTAGATGCATGACAAGTGTTTTCTCTTTATAATCATGCATATGATTATACATTGCTGTCTGCAACCCTATCAGAACATTGCATTGTACATGCATTTGGCGTGACCTTGACGTTACTGGTGACCTGGCTATTTAATGGACTAAATTAGGTGAATTAATCATCATATTCACAGAATGATTGTTTTGTTCACAAAATTTTTTTCTTAATTTCTTGTGCATTATTAAAGAATACAGCTACAGCGTTATGAATGAATGGTAAAGTTCTAACGGTGTAAATAAATTGTTAATTGTCACCATTGTTGATACAGTAGATCCTGAGGAGACGATAACCACGAAGCAATAAGACATTCAAGTTCTTCTAGTTTCAGCTTCAGGCCTGTGGATAGACATAAAACATATTTTCTTTTTTTTTTAAAGGTTCTCAAAGCCAATAAAGAGACTTCATTTTTAAGAGCACGATATTTGTTCAAGTTATTTCTAAAATATAGCCAGGAAAGCCATTTTAGTGCGCTAAACGCATCAGGCGGGCCTAAAACACACATTTACGCTGATGTCCATGTATGCAAACTCAGTTTCAGAGGCAATTTCTAACTTACTAACAAGTTGCTTACTAGGATATTGGCACATATTAATGCATTATTCGGCATGGCCATATTCTACATCTCTTAATCCTATCCGATACGTAAACTTAACAACCTTACTAACTATTAATACGCAGTCATTATAAGTTTACTGCCGTAGTTAATGATATAGTGAGCCTAAAGTGTGTCCAAAAAAAGGTTGCGTTTTTATTAGTGTGTTTTTGCAGCTCCGTGTAAATGTTGATGACCGCTAGCAAAGCTGATTCCCCCAGTATAAAGGAATAAATGAATAAGCAGGGCGTCTTGACCAGATGCAGCGGGCGTAATGGTAATGGTGCTCGGCCTCCATGTTGAACATGCTGGAGGTAGTTAGTTCACATTAGCGGCCCTGTTTGAGCTCTCCTGTGGTTCTGTTGAACTCGGTCTGCGTCCCACACACTAGTGTCCTCCAGTATGTATTATGACTTAATGATAAGCCATCTACCTCTCTCTCTCTCTCTCTCTCTCTCTCTCCATCCCCCCTCCCATTAAGAATCCAGTCACACAGTGGTGCAGTGGATATTCTGCCTTCCCTCACCTCACTTGGTTCCGTACAACACGCACAGACGCACGCACACACAAATATAAACAAACAAACAATAAACAACTCCCCCGGTTTGCGGCGTCTCTGTCCCTCGCTCTGGTTTAAGCTGAAACCGAAGCTGTGTCATCAGTTTGGCTGATGTCTTTAACGCAGATGTCGCCCTCACAATGTCATACGATCCTCGGTCTTTCATTTTTCTTCCAGTGCATATGTGCGTCAACATCTTGTGGCATATATTATTGTGTGTTTCCTCCTACTAAAGGTTTTCATGTATGCATGTGTGTGTGTGTGTGTGTGTGTGTGTGGAGGACTGTGCTTGTGTGTGAATGAGTTCTCTGTATCTGCCTCACTGAAACGCTATGTGCTTCTGTTACTAATACTAACACTATCGCCTGCTACATATGGACTGGACACTTTATTTGCATGATATTGATATTATTAACCATTATAATCTCAACAACGTCTTATTTTCGATATTCAATTAACACCAAATTTTAAGATATTATTGCTGGGAAATGATATCGCAGCGTCCCAGTTCAGTTACTATATCCTAATAAATACACAAGAATAAAATAGCTGAAAATCAAAAAAAAAAAAAAAAAAAATGCAAATTTGGGTCAAATATGGACAAATTTTGGGTTAAAAATGCAAAAATTTGAAATGACATTTTTAGCCAAACATTTGGGTTTGTCCATATTTGACCCAAATTTGGGGTTCAAACAACCCAGCATTGTTGAGAATGTAAATGTGCTGGTTTGAAATGAATTTAAATGCATGAACGTAACCGTGAAATAATTATTAACAGTAATGTAATGGATTTAGCTATAGCTTTTAATGCTTACATCCAAGCGATAACCGTACGTTACAAGGGTTTGGTGTTTGTTACTAACTCGAAACTTTCCCATTATATTGTTAGTAAAGGCCAGACACATGATCAGAAGTACGTGAGTGTTTGTGGACAGTTCTGGCACCAACGAGAGACTAATATATGATTCAAAATTAAAAACAGTCTGTTATTGAACTAAAGATGCTTCAAACTTGTTTACAGATTTAATTAGATTATTTACTCAATAAAATTGGTATAAATTGGTGCGTTTCTGAATGAACATTTTCAATGAACAGCTTGAGGTCAGTAATTGTTTTTGCCGTTGAAAGAATTCAATACTTTTATTCATGCATTAAAGGGACAGTAAATACATTTATAAAGTTATAAAAGATTTCCACAAGTGTTTTCAACATTAATAATTATGAAATGTCTTCTAAGTCAAACCACGAACGTCGTGCTGAGTGATCTGAACTTTATGAAGTTCAACGAACTTCTGAACTGTATGAACGGCGTTCGGGGATCGACTTATCGAGACTATTTTTTAAGATGGCTCCTGTCTGTATACACGAAGTGAACTGTCTTCATAAAGTATCTTCGGTCTGTACACTTACACAGTTCTCAATGCTTCGTTTTGTATGTATGGACCCTCATTATGTTACTGCGTTAGTGTGGGGCTATTTTGAGCCTTGTTAGTGGTATAAACTAGCGATTTCTTTTACTTAGTCAATGCCCCCATTACTAGCATTATACGCTAAACAGTTTTTAGAGATAAAACTCTTTACATTCGATTATCATGAAAACAAATCTCAAAGAACGATTGACTAGGTACCGACGTTTTATTAGACCAAAGGTTCATTGTTCGCCGGAGTTCTCCTTTAAATGTAATTAAACTGCATATAACATTCGGAGTAATACTTCGTACAAACGGACGGTAGACAAGCTTTGAGGCTTAACTTCTGCCTCGACTGTAAAAACAACATTAAAACAGATGGAGATGTGATTCCAGATCGACCACCAGAGGTCCCTGTCACTCCAGAATTATTGACTGGTTGCCATAGTTACGCACCTGTTCCTTGATGTTTAACCAGATACCTGTTCGGCCCGTTCGGTCCTGGGTGTGTGACGGAGCCGGAGCTGATGGTCAAGTGTTCAGTGCACAGAAATGTTAGTTTTATTCCTTCCACTTTTTCAGGTGTGAATGCCTGTAGGTGAAATATAATCTGGATTTGGTTCTGATGATAATGGAGGCTTTTCTCCAGTGCACGGTAATCTTTCTAACAAGCTCCTACTGGTTTTTGTACAACCCCTCATTAAGCAATATATAAATTACAAAGAGGCCGTTTCTTGACTCGGCTTGAATCATTTACAGGTCTCTGGCTCTCTTGGAGGTTTTCCAAAAGCAAAAATGTGTTAATTAAAATTAATGACATCCCATATTATTAAATAAAGAGCTAAAAGTTCCATTGATGAAACAGAATTAATATTTTATTTTCATTTTGGTCTGTAGAAACACTGGTTGTAGTTGTAGGTTGTTTTCCAATGAACTTGTTAACTTAATTCCTTCCATTCATATGGTGGAAATATCTGAATGTCACTGTTACTAAGTAAGTAGCACTGCAAACTAAGTAGAAGATAATTTACAGAAATAAAACGCAAACAAGAAGAAGAAAAAAACAATCAGAGAAAGACTTAAAGATAGTTTTAACCCTTAAACACATACTTCGTGATTTCATTCACTACCCTACTCACAACCTTCTTGGTATTCCTCAATCATAAACAATACAACAAGAAAAACAAAAATCGTATGTGGTCGCTAACAAGCCAAGGTGTGTAACAATCTAAGTATGTATTTTTTGCAAAACAATAATTGAATCTTTGATGACTGAATAACTGCAATTCACCATTATTCCACATGGTGGCGTGATGTTTCACTCGTAGTTACCGCAGGCAGAAAACAAAAGAATAGGAAGAATAATCAGGAAACTTGAAATGGCTCAGTGGCAATCAAATATTACTGTCCCTGTCACTTGATGGTGGATCTAGATGTCAAACAATGGTTTTGAGAATATGGCTGGGCTGGCGAATATGAGCCAGATGCTGAATGTACTGGGAAACGAGGACAGTGATGATGGTAAAACATCTGCTCAAACTGAACCCTTCCAAGCTCCAAAAGAAAACAAAATATGCTTTATTTAATCCTTCTGTAAGTGTTACTCTGATATCAGGAGAGTTTTATATTAGCGTGACAGAGACAGTGACAGTGATTGGCGCAAAACATTCATGCATTTAAGGGTTAAATGACAAAACAATAGATATAGTGTTGAAAAAGTCTAAAAGAAAAGGCAATGACATTCAGACATTTACATACTATACTTTTTGATGAGCACCGTATTAATGTTTTCCATAACTGTAAATACGCATGGTTGTGCCTCATCTATGATTCCTGATCTCCTTTCACAGGCAACACGTAATTGGCTGGGTAAAAGCCTTGGACTCCGCCCTCCTTCACCCCAAAGCACCAGCCCTGATCATCCTCTTCCTCAATCTTGAGGAACTCTTCACCTGTGAGACAGAGCGACAGCCGTCAGCGCCTCAGTGAGATTCAGAGTAACTTCACCAGGGTCGAAGGATCACCTGCTTTGAAGGACAGTTCATCGTCTTCCTCTCCAGTGTAGTTGTACAGCGCCCGCACACGCACTCCTCCGATCATGACCCTGCGGGAGAAGATGACAGAAAATCAGCACTTTCAATTTCAGGTCAACTCCTGAGGTGTCCAAACTGGATATTTTACTATTATGCTATCAACTGCTACCTAATACTGTGTTTGACCCACTTTAGCCTTCAGAACTGCCTTAATTCTACGTGGCATTGATTCAACAAGCATTTTTTAGAAATGTTGGCCCATATTGATAGGATAGCATCTTGCAGTTGATGCACATCCAGGGCTCCCGTTCCACCACATCCCAAAGATGCTCTATTGGGTTGAGATCTGGTGACTGTGGCGGCCATTTTAGTACAGTCAACTCATTGACATGTTCAAGAAACCAATTTGAAATGATATAGATGGCATTTAAACGATGCCCAATTGGCACTAAGGGGCCTTTTACACCACCACCACCACCAGCCTGCACAGTGGTAACAAGGCATGATGGATCCATGTTCTCATTCTGTTTACGACTCTACCATCTGAATGTCTCAACAGAAATCGAGACTCATCAGACCAGGCAACGTTTTTCCAGTCTTCAACTGTCCAATTTTGGTGAGCACTTGCAAATTGTCGCCTCTTTTTCATATTTGTAGTGGATAGGGCTGTCACTTTTGTCAAAAAATCTTAAAGGAGTGTTCATTGAATCGATTGTAAAATCGATTTTCCATGTTTAAACACGTTTCCATTTTAGCCAAATATAGGCAAATCGACGGACACCGCATGCGGGCGAACGTAGGCCTAAAGAGGGCGTACTTGAATATTTCTGAAGCTTCGTGCACAATGACAAACAGGAGTGTAACATTCTCGAAAAAAAAAAAGCAGATAACATCAATGAAAAACATTAGGATTCAACATGGCTCTGTTTACGATTAGAGTTATTATTTGGATTAGCCTACTACTTAAATGTCAAACTAATTTTGCCAACATAGGTGATTGTAGCCTGAATCTGTATCTGTATGCATGAGACTTTCTGAAAACCGGCAGAATTCACATTTTTCATTATGCAGAAGTACAATTTGCTGTTATGTGTGTGTTGCTGTGCGACGCGCGTTCGCTACGGGCGTGACGTGACGAGCTGGACGCGCTCTGAGAGAAGGCCGTTAAAATCGATTCCCTATTTTCGTTTTCGATACTTGTGTTGGTTGGTCCGATCGATTGTGCAATCGATTTTCGAACGTAAAGTGACAGCCCTAGTAGAGGAGATGAGTGGTACCCGGTGGGGTCTTTTGCTGTTGAAGCCCATCCGCCTCGAGGTTGTGTGTGTTGTGGCTCCAGAATTGCTTTGCTGAATCCCTCGGTTGTAACGAGTGGTTATTTCAGACAAAGTTGCTCTTCTATCAGCTTGAATCAGTCGGCCCATTCACCTCTAGCATCAACAAGGCATTTTGGCCCACAGGACTGACCCATACTGGATGTTTTTCCCTTTTCACACCATTCTTTGTAAACCCTAGAAATGGTTTGCGTGAAAATCCCAGTAACTGAGCAGATTGTGAAATACTCAGACACCAATAACCATTGCTTAAATCCCCTTTCTTTCCCATTCTGACATTCAGTTTAGAGTTCAGGAGATTGTCTTGACCAGGACCACACCCCTAAATGCATTGAAGCAACTGCCATGTGATTGGTTGATTAGATAATTGAACAGCTGTTCCTAATAATATAATATTATATTATATACTGCTATTGTATTATATACAGTGTAATAGACGGAAATGTTACGTGCAATTCAAATGCATGAATCTACTATACGCCTCGAAACACAACACTAAACCAAACCTCGCCAGCACTGATTAATTTTTCCCCAAAAACGTTTATTCATCCCACTAAACAACGTGCAGCCATTAACATTGAATATACCTTAAAGCACACCATCATTAAAAAGGTGACATTCACAAGTGTGAATCTGGCTGCCCTCCAAACACAGCGTCCGCATAAGAGAAAGACACTCGTGCCTTAAGGAGTTAGAGTCGTCACGGCAGAATAAAACACACCAGACAACAGTTCACCAAAATAAAAACATCTCAACTGGAGCTCAGCCAAAAGCACACTGGAGGAAGATGACAAAACCAACTTTTGGGCCTTCACGCTTAAGTGCTAAAGATTGTCAGTACATCACAATGAACACACACAGCGTCCCCACAGTCAAACATGGAAGTGGCAGCCGCATGTTTTATAGATGCGTCTCTGAGGAAGGGACTACAAAACTCATGAAGGAGCGGGACACACACGATATCTTGTTGCTCTGGCTGCCTCTTTTATGCTTCTTTCGAATATAACCTTTCATGCAGTGTGTAATATAGCAGTTTGTGAATGTAAAAGGCCTGCAAACTTTTAAAGATTTAACAAATCTCCATAATGGTCTTCACTGGTTGTCTGTGAACTACATTTACTTAGGCCCGCCCTCAAACGCTGTAGCTGAGACGTTTGGTTCGTGTTGTTGAGAAGACGCTGCAAATACACTTTAGAGAGATTGAGGTTTCAGACTCTTTGAGAATGTAGAATAGGTATTCGGAGAAAATTAAAAGCTTTTTTTGACCTTGGATGCATGTAAATCTATTGTGGGAGACATTAGGAACCTATAAAACAGCATAATAAGGGGGCCTGATAATGATCAATGATCTGATACAAACTCCAGAGATTTGAAACCAAAGATAATGTTACCTTAAAGAGCTATTTCTACCTGATTTAACCCTAAAAATGAGTTTTGTTGATATAAAAGTATGTATTTAGGTCAATTCAGTGATCATTGATCATATTTTGACTAGGAAAAAAACACGTTGATTTAGACGTTAACCATTTCTAAATTCTATGACATTCCATTCAATGCTTCATTATTTTTTGACATCAAAATCAAAGAAAAATTAGCATGCACTACAAGCTATTTTTAAGTATGCACTGTGCAACAATGAGCATTTTAAAAAGTAGTATGCAATAGTGTTGTCACGATACCAAAATTATTGTTTCGATACCAAGTCAAGAATAGCGATTTCGATACTTTTTCGATCCTTTTCCTGAAAAGGAAAGTATTTCTTACAGGGCGTTTCACATGCACCTCCTTTGCGAAGGTCTGTGCTTTTATTTTTGACTTTGGATGCATGTAAACCTATTGTGGGAGACATTAGGAACCTATAAAACAGCATAATAAGGGGCCCTGATAATGATCAAAGATCTGATACAAACTCCAGAGATTTGAAACCAAAGATAATGTTACCTTAAAGAGCTATTTCTACCTGATTTAATCCCCCAAAATGAGTTTTGTTGGTATAAAAGTATGTATTTAGGTCAATTCAGTGATCGTCGATCATATTTTGACTAGGAAAAAAACACGTTGATTTAGACGTTAACCATTTCTAAATTCTATGACATTCCATTCAATGCATCATTATCTTTTGACATCAAAATTAAAGAAAAATTAGCATGCACTACAAGCTATTTTTAAGTATGCACTGTGCAACAATGAGCATTTTAAAAAGTAGTATGCAATAGTGTTGTCACGATACCAAAATTATTGTTTCGATACCAAGTCAAGAATAGCGATTTCGATACTTTTTCGATACTTTTCCTGAAAAGGAAAGTATTTCTGACAGGGCGTTTCACATGCACCTCCTTTGCGAAGGTCTGTGCTTTTTTTTTTTTGACCTTGGATGCATGTAAACCTATTGTGGGAGACATTAGGAACCTATAAAACAGCATAATAAGGCGGCCTGATAATGATCAATGATCTGATACAAAAAGATAATGTTACCTTAAAGAGCTATTTCTACCTGATTTAACCCTTAAAAATGAGTTTTGTTGGTATAAAAGTATGTATTTAGGTCAATTCAGTGATCGTCGATCATATTTTGACTAGGAAAAAAACACGTTGATTTAGACGTTAACCATTTCTAAATTCTATGACATTCCATTCAATGCATCATTATTTTTTGACATCAAAATTAAAGAAAAATTAGCATGCACTACAAGCTATTTTTAAGTATGCACTGTGCAACAATGAGCATTTTAAAAAGTAGTTAGGTCAATTCATTGATCGTCGATCATATTTTGACTAGGAAAAAAACACGTTGATTTAGACGTTAACCATTTTTAAATCAAAATCAAAGAAAAATTTAAGCAAAAGAATGGACCGTTTACAGCATGCACTACAGGCTATTTTTAAGCGTGCAGTATGCAACAATAAGCATTTTAAAAAGTAGTATGCAACATTGTTGTCACACGACCTCATGTTTAATTCAGTGACTTCCAGCCCGGTCATGCTAGAAACATAAATCTGCATTTTTAATGCATTTCTTTACTCTTTGGACGGCTGATCAGATGAAATCAGCTCCAGTTCACTCATCACAGTGGAAACGAAGGTCAAGCTGAGCGCATTACAGTATTGCACACAGTATTCTGCACATTTCAGCAAATGACACACTTCAGCTTTATGACTGCACTTCACAATCATTCCTCATCCAACCGAATCAGTTCAGCCAAGGAGGATTTGAACAGCCGGCGGACGGAAACCCGAAGAGACTCGCTGCTCAATACTTACACTTTTCATTTCGTAATATGATTCATTTTCTAATTAACTTGAATTAATTAATATTACCTTTGACATTATAATAGAGCACGTTGCGTGCAAAAAGACACTACAGATGAATAGGGTCAAAATGTAGACTAATAAATATCACCAGAACTTCCCTGGTTGATTAATCACATCAAGACTATTGTAATTTATTACAAGTTTTCTGAAATATATTTAAATATTGAAATGAGGCATTATGTAATTAAATATGCCCTAATTTGCATACATTTCCTGAACACTGATAAAGCCAGGTTGCTTCATTTTGTTGACATATTAGAGCTAACGTTTTTTTTTTTGTTTTTTTTACAATTGGGATCTTTTTATCATAAATCAGAAAATATTATCAACAGAAAATTCACCATCTTTTAGGGATAAAATGTATTAAATCAGGCAAATTATATATGAACAAACCCCTCTGTAAAACCCGTGAGAATTTAGATAGGAATAAAACCGTATAGTTCAGTGGATGAAAGTGATACTGAAGTGGAGATTAATAAAAAAAACAATGGTTTTGCCTTGTAGTGTCCAGCCTTAAAAACATCATAATCGTGATTGTGTGTGTTCGTGGTGAGCTTACGCTTTCTCCTCAGGTCCTCTGTGTGCTTTTGGTTTCTTTCCTGGTTTATGTTTTTTAATCGGAGGATTCCACTCCTGCACCAGAAACACGCAGAGACGAGATTACAGGACGAAAACACAGAAAGAAAGAAGACTCAGTCATTTCAAAACTGAATATTCAAGTCGTAAAACACTAAATTACAACAGTTTTGACACAAAAATAAATATAGGATAGTTCCCCTCATAATATCTGAATGCATATGATGACACACACCTCTATTTTGGGCCAGTCGGTTGGCATGCCCGGCCCGTGGTTGTTCTTCCACCAGCGGAGGTCATCAGGTTCACTGATGGACATGAGTGTGTGATGTAGTTCACCGTACACTGCTTTTATACTGAAAAACACACCCATATACACATATAAAGACACTCAGGCTTTTTGACAGGATAATGAACATCACTGCAGCTAATAGGCTTTATGTTGAACGTCACATGAACAAACAGGAAAACAGGTCTCATTGCATCTTAATAGCGGTCTATGAATATATATATTACATTTATAACTTTTTAATCTCACAAGTTTATATCTTGCAATTCAGAGTTTATATCTGAGCTTGGAATTGCAAGGGAAAAACACATAATTGTGAGTTTATATCTCATAATTCAGACCCCCCCCCAGAATTATTCATTTAAGTTTGCAAATGCGAATTATAAAGTCCAAATTGAGAGATATAAAACTCTCAATTGTGAGAAAAAAGTTCCAATTACACTTTTTTTAATTCCGTGGTGAAAACAAGCCTCCATAATATATACATATAAATACATAAAGTGCAGAAATCAAATATATATATATACACACAGGGTTTGAGATGAGGGTATCGCCTGTGGCGGGTAACGCTGTTAAATCACGAGCCAATTTGCCGTTACTTTTAATGTTTACTCACTTTGCTGGGGAAGCCAAATCTGCACAAATCTGGTTTACTTGAACACAAACGTCACTACGCAACAAATAGCGGTGCGCTTGTTCATTTGCATTGAAGCAATAGCGAAGATTAAAAAGCATTTGGTGAACAGAAAAGAAAACCTACATGTTTTTTGATGTTCTTTGTACAGTATAGATCTGTCCAGAACACATTTCTGGTGAAAAGGATGCGGATAAAAGAGGATCCAGATCCAGATTTTATATTATATAGCTGTGACGTAGTTCATTTGGATTATTTTTTCTTTTGGCTAGTAGAAGTTCTGGAAAAGTTAATTTCACCCCCTGTGTACACAAATATCAATTTCACTTGAAACTCTTCTGAAATCAACACTAAAACATATTTGTTTTTGTTCCCTTCATAATTAATGTATCCACTACAAAGAAAACGATAATGTAATGTTGTAATCAAATGCGTGTTGCCCTTTTAAACCTCTCATTGTTGGTGATGTCGAGGTGTCTGTGAATGGACAGGAAGGCCTGTTTCAGGAAGCTGATCCTCTTCCTCTCCTCCTCCTGTGATTGGTCGAACACAGACTCCATTTCCTCCATGTATCGCGGCGCAAATCCAGTGACGTCCTCTAGGACCTTCTCGTAGCGATCACGTGCCTGCAAAAACATGCATAAATAATTCATGACTATGTAATATATAATGAATATAATATATTTGTGTAGAAAGTCTCATTGACCTTGCTGCGCTCCTGTGTGGCTTTCTCTCTCGTCTGCTGAATCTTGGACAGTTTGCTCTCACTCAGGTTGACGTTGTGTTTGGCTTGATTCTCTTTTTCCTGAGCGATCTGCTCCCTCTGACATGACTTATGATACGCCGCACGAGCCTTTTCCAGCTAATGGATACACAAAAACGTATTATTAGCATCACATAGTGCTTTTCATGTCATGTTCAGCTCTAACTTATGCTATTAAATGCACTGGGAATGCAATCTATCTCTAACCAGGACGTTTCCAGCGTCAAGTAATATCTTTTCCTCACTAAAAGCTGAATATTGTATGAAAGGAAATAAATGCAGGTAATAATAGGGTCAAATTTGAACTAATAGAGATCACCACAATTTGCCAATAGTTGATTAATCACATGTTTTGAATTACAAGTTTCCTGAAATGTTGTTTAAATTTGCACATACATTTCCAGAGCTGAAATCTGAAAATTTCTTGTTTCCATTTATTATCATATTAAGAGTTAAAGGTTTTTAAAGAAGGGATTTTTGATATCTATTTTTATTAGGGCTGTGCAAAAATTAATTGTGATTAATCGCATACATAATAAAAGTCTGTGTTTACATAATATATTTGTGTGTGCCGTATATAATTATTTTGTATATATAAATACACACAATTCTTATGTATATATTTAAGAAAATGTGCTATTCATATATAAAATATTTATATTTATATAATATAGATTATGTATTTATATACAGTATATATACAGAATTTAAGCGCAAATAATTCTTAAATATATACATGCATGTGTGTGTATTTATATATACAAAATAGTTATATACAGCACACACACATATATTATGTAAACACAGACTTTTATTTTGGATCAATTAATTTTTGCACAGCCCTAATTTTTATCATTCGAAAAACCCTCAAATATACAATCAACAGACAGAAAAAAATATTTTTAGGAATAAAATATATAAAATCAGCCAAATGATATACAGGTGAACCTTGAAACATTAGTGTATCGTGCAAAAGTTCATTTATTTCAGTAATTCAACTTAAAAGGTGAAACTAAGATATTATATAGACTCATTACATGCAAAGTGAGATATTTCAAGCCTTTATTTGTTATAATGTTGATGATTATGGCTTAAAAACCCCAGGTTTTCATAAGCTGTGAGCCATACTCATCAACATTATAAAAAAATAAAGGCTTGAAATATCTCACTTTGCATGTAATGACTAATATAATATATTAGTTTCACCTTTTAAGTTAAATTACTGAAATAAATAAACTTTTGCACCATATTCTAATTTTTCGAGGTTCACCCCTCAGTAAAAACCTTCAGAGTATAGATAGAGTATAACTGTAAAATTTTGTGTATATAAGTGATACTGAAGTGGAGAAAAAAACCTCTCAGAATAATGGCCTTTAATGTTATGTATTGTAACTGAAATCTACGCTAATAGACTAATAGTTTTCTTTCCACTAGTCAATGAAGCAAAATAGCCTGAAATCTCCAAAGTAAGCCTGTTTTTTTGCTTTAATTTACTGAAATACTGAGAGGGGTTTTAAAACAAATGGTTCAGTTGGTTAACGCCTATTAGTTTAAAATAGTTGGCCATTATACGTCTCACTATCACCTTCTTTAATCTTTTCACCCAGGGCTTCTGAGCGCGTGAGAAAGCCGTCCCGAGGTCATGTGACTCCCTGAAGCCGCAGAACATTTTCCGCGGGAACGTCTCTTTCTTCCACGAGCGAATGCGCTCTCCGTCTTCTGCAACCAGAGACTGGGAGATGTCCGTGTGAAGCTTAGACAGACGCTCGGTGGACGAGAAAAAGCACTGCCACGCTCGCAAGAGGGACCCGTACAGCGGCCCTGAGAGAGAGAGAGAGAGAGAGAGAGAGAGAGACATCCGCTCGGTTGAAAATACTTTTACCCATTTACATCACACTAAGCAAAACTGCAACTGAACTTGACAGCCAGCAGATTTGAGTTTTTATGTAACAACGCAATTTTAATATCATTGAGATACTGTTAGCTTTTGTTCATATTTTGAATTAGCCTTTTTTATATTTTTCTCTTCATTTTTTTTAAATGCATTTTTTTAAAATGAAGTTAAAATTTGTTTCATTTCAATTAACAATTTTTTTTAATTTTTTCATGGTTTTAGTTAACTATAATAACTAGAGCCCGACCGATAAAGGATTTTGAAGGCCGATACCGATACAAATATTTGTTGGTTTTAAAATCCGATATTCCGATAAATCGGCCGATATTATTATTGTTATTTTTTTTATTTTAGAAACGAGCAACAAAATATTATCAGATTTCCCTAACATTAGTTATTTGTAGTTAATTATGAGTTTTAACTAAAATAATATGATAATGCATAACTGTTTCTCTCTGCCTGACTCTGGCTGGATCAGCAGGTTGCAGGATGTGTGGCGCGTTATACACGAGTGTTGCAAACAGGGACGGTGTAGAGTGCCCTCTGGTGGACAAACTATACAACACCAACACTCATGACATGGTTGAAGCGTGATTCGCCCGTTTTTATTTTTTGGAATTTTTGAAATATTCATTTATCGGCCATTATAACTGCCGATACCGATATTTTAGAAAATGCCTAATATCGGCCGATAATATCGGTTTGCCAATATATCGGTCTGGCTCTAATAATAACCCTGGTATGTAAAAGAGCAACAAAATAAGACTGGGTAGATGATGACAGAATCTTCAGATTAAAGGGTTAGTTCAGTATTTTACACTTAAAGCCCTGTTTTAAGATCGTTTCTGATGAAATACAACGGTTAAGATTGAAATTTCACAACCATTTGTGATCAATCAATTAAAATTGGACAAATGCTGCTGTCCTGATAATTTTAGGTTTCTGTGTTAGCAGCACCCCCAAAAACAAAAAAACTCAAAAATGAGCAAAGATTCAATAACACCTACGCCAGTTTCAGTGGGTGTGACGCTTCTGAAAATAGTGGACCAATGAGATTTGACTGTGGGCGGAGTTACTCTGAATTTTGACAGTTTTCGACTCACGAGTGTCAGTGATTGATCTCCACTTGCTGCTCCACTCGGTCAGCTGACGGGCGTACTGCCGCTCCACACGAGCCCGGTCTTTCATACACGCTATGATGTCATTACACGCTTGGTGCGACCCGGATGTCCTCCGCACTGTCCGCTCGAAGTTTCCTGGCTGAGACGAGAACAGAAGGAAATGGCGTATTTTTGTAGGCCCAAAACCCGTTAGCATTTTAGCACTTCCGCTTCCATTCTCCTAAAGTCAATGGGGATGTTGAATGTTTTTTTGGTTAAACACCCGAAATACGGTCTGTGGTGAACATAAGCACATGACATTTATGCATAAAATGCATCAGTAAACTCCCTTGTGATTTTTTTAACAAGCGCCTACAGAGGTTGTCGGACATTAAGTCGACAACAGTTGGACGTCGCTGTGATATCAAGAGGTAAAACGATATAAACACTGTTGGTTTTCTCACACAAACCGCTCGTTTCGTGTCTTAGGCCATCAATGTGTACTTACATTTACGAGTCATTAAATCATGTTTAATTTGGACTTCTCTGTTCATGCTCTTTGAGGTGGTGACCATAGACCTCCATCATATGACTGACAGACAAGAACGGTTTGACCTAAAAATATCAAAATTGAAAATACTGCAAACCAAGACACCTACATCTTGGATGCCTTGAGGTAAACTAAAACATATCAAAAATGAAATTTAAAGTGAACTATCCCTTTAAGAACCTTTTCTGCATTAGAAAGGTTCCACTGATGTTTACAGGTTCTTTATGGAATGATAGATGCCATTTTGAATCTATGTGAATTGCGCTGTTTGTGTGGCACATGCTATGCAGTGCAATCCAAATCAGTCACTTGTGATCTATGGCACTGCCTTAGAAGGAAGCTTCCTATGTAGGGAGTAAAAAGCAAGGCAGGCATCTCACTATAGGTGTTGGAACAGCTTTTTTCTCACCATCCAGAAGCTGATTTTGTTGAGATCCTCAGCTGGGCCTGCAGGAGGGTCCGCCATGGTCACAGCTGTCTGCAAAAGACAGTCTGATTACATGCATGTGTGTAAGTGAGGAAGAATCTGCATGCATTCATAAACCAATCGCAGTCCAACGTTGTCTTTGTCCAGTTTCCGGCTTGTTGCACCAGCCTCAAGGCTGTTGTTGTTACCCCTGCACGATCAGATCCCGCCTCGACACATCAGGTGACATTTATTCAGGGGCATCTGGGTATCCGAGAGGCTTCATGGCAAACAGACGGCCGCTCTCTGAAGCTTTTGAACCTTCGGCACATTTGCATTCTCATCGGATGTGAACATCTTCTTGTTTTGACACATTGCAGAGTGAGTTACATGCAGCAGTTTAAGAGCGTTAGAGATTTATTCAGAACACTGTGAGCAATGTTAATGATACTTGACTTGCAAACACCACTAACAAGTACAGACGCTCTTGAAAAAGAAAAAGACGTCACCTTTGTACAGCCAGGTTTTTCCTTTTGCCTTTTACAATATAACAACAGCCAACGTTCAGTCTAATATGTCTATACATATGAACTGAATGTAATGTCTTCAATTGCATGTGATTTGCAAGTGAATGAAAATGCATTAAAGTTCATAATTATTTCTATTCTCTTTGACGCGCTTTACTGTAAGTGCACTCTCGACTGAAAAATGTATGGTACACAAAAATAGAAACTTGTATGTCATGTATTTAAATATATCGACAAACATTTGTAACAAAGTTCCAATTTAGTGCATTAAAAATGTATTAATCAGGGCTGTGCAGAGATTAATTGTGATTAATTGCATCTAAAATAAAACTTTGTGTTTACTTCATATATGTGTGTGTGCTGTGTATAATTATTTTGTATATATAAATACACACACATGCATGTTTATATTTAAGAAAATGTGTTATTCATATATAAAATATTTATATATAATATAGATGATGTATTTATATATATACAGTACTTAAATATATACATGCATGCATATGTATTTATACTGTATATAAGTAATTATACACAGCACACACACACATATATTATGTATACACAAACTTTTATTCTGGATGTGATTAATTGCAATTAATCTTTGCACAACCCAAAAACAGTAACATCAGATAACACACTACAGTTAAAATTTGAATCAAGTACTTTATATGTGCTTTAGTAAGCATGTTAGTTAAAGCACGGCAAAAGATCATTAAAGTGTACCCCTTTTAAATGGCTTTTTTATTTCATTAACATATCTGCAAGTACAGCTTTTTAAAAAATATACTTTTAAGATTTAGCGTACACTACAAGTGCATATTAAATACAATAAGAGAACTTTTTCACAAGATTACATCATCTAAAATTACATCCGCTGTCGTTTGGGGTCAAAAACACACAAGTCCTGCGGCCCGCTTGACATAAAACGAGTCTTTAGAGCAGTGGTTCTCAATCTGTTGTCTACAAAATCATGCAACTTGATTGGATGATGATTAAAATAAAAAATGATGCACTGGTAAAACTAAGGCAATTTCAAATGATAAGCGTACGAGAGTCACTGCTATTAACACTATTGACGCATAATATGACTTGAGTGAAATGCATGGGGGAAACTTTACATTAAGGTTTCATTTGTTAAAATTAAACAAACTAATAATGAACAATACTTCTACAGTAATGTATCTGTTAACATTACTTAATTAAATAGAAATTCAATTCAATTAATTTCCATTTTTAAATAAATGCTGTAAAAAAACAGTTATTAATGAGAGGAATGAGCCCTTATTTTAATGTCTTACCAATGCATGTATTTGCAAAGTCTATCTGATAAAAATAGGTTGTGGGAGAGTTTCTGGACGTCATCCAGAGCATGCAACTGTCCATGTGAATCACTCCTGAGACTCGCTGCATGTGAAACTGCAACTGGATATAGTCAGTTGTGATGATAAACATCTCTGAAACGTCCTGAGAATTTAATCTGATTAAAACTGACAGAAATCTTTATACTAAAGATAAAATCACACAAACTAGCCAAATTAAAGAACGCTAAAATAACGAATGGACATAACTGCATCAGTATGTATTAAGCATACTGTAAAGGCGTATCTGTGTGTGTGTGTGTGTGTGTGTTGCTACAGAAATCTGGGATCAGAAATAGAAGTCTCCCCCACCCTGGATTCCATGCACCAGCCCAGCAAACTCCAAATAAACAAGAGCTGGTGGGTCATCTTACACATGCTTCACACACACACACACAGTGCAAAACACAAGAGTCACAAATTGGAGTGATTTTCTATTTATGAAAGAATATGTTCAAACACAATGCCCATTGTGTCAAATAAATTAAATAAACTAATTAAAACGATAAACCCATAATTAGAACCCAGAATAAAATTGGCAAATATATCCATTATTAGACAGTAGTCGCATAATAAAATGCCCACGAATTTAAAACATCAGAGGGATTTCCCTAAAGTCCAGGTTCATTTTCAGTTTGTTTCTGCAGTGTTAAAACTACATGAGATCACAATCATATCTCTAATATGAAAGAATGGCATAGGAAAAACACATGTATACAATTATACAGCATATCAAAATGAAATCACATCTTTAAATAAACGCATTTTTGTAATTGCGCGAAACAATGAATTGTTAGTAAATTACAAAAACATAATGAACGCATTTCAACACTCAAGCTCTGTGTGAGCTAAATATACACAATAAAGTTATTTTTTCACTTTCAAATAAATCAGCGTGTGTGTGTGCAACACTCTTTACACTGTATGGGTAGTTGACGTGACACACATCTAAAACTATTTTGTATGATTATCATGCATGCATATTTTATGAGCTCATTATTAATAATTGTACTTAATTACATTTTTAAAAAGCAGCACATAAAATACACACTTTCAAGTCAATTTTAGCTTCAAATCTTAATGTTGAAAGAAAAAAACATGTTATTTGTCAACTACCCAACAAACTTAAGTTAAACTGAATAGAAAAAGGAGCAAATGCTTTTTACCTCCAGTCGTTGGCTTGTTCTGTCCTCCTTCACTTCTCTCCCATGTTCACTCCAGTGTCTGTGCAGTCAGTCAGCTGTTGCAAAGTGCATATGTACATGCAAGTGTGTGTTGTCCTCCTCTCTCTCTCTCAAACACACACACACACAATCTCTCATCTCAGTGTAAATGAGTTGTCAGGTGTGAAATTTAAGTGTGTTGTAGAATGTGAGAGTTATTTCAGCTCTCTGCCAACCACAGCTCAGAGCGAAAAACCGCCAACATGTGAAGCAATTAGTGTGTATCAGTGTAGTTCATAAGTTCAAAAGCAAACAATACAGCCTAAACTAAATATGCTATTTCTATATCAAAGCATTTAAAGTTCTAAAGTGCTAAACTGATTGTTTATTATCAGAGTTCATCACCTCAGAAACAGGAACGGTGAAGAGCCCGCAGTGATCTCTACCACATCACACACAGTCAACCGTGGCCTGTGGGAATTTAGGAAATAGTTCATCCTAAAATAAAGGAATTACATTATTTACTCACCCTTTACTCATGGTTGTTTCTTCCATGGAACAATGTTTAAGCGTACAATCAAAGGAGTAGTTCACTTTTACTGATAATTTACTCACCCCCATCCCATGTCATCCAAGATGTCCATGTCTTTCTTTATCAGGCGAAAAGAAATTAAGGTTTTTGATGAAAACTTTCCAGGATTTTCTCCATATAATGGACTTCAATGGGGTCCAAACGGTTCAAGGTCCAAATGAGAGTTTCAGTGCAAACTGTTCAAAGGGCTTTAAACGATTCCAGATGATGAATAAGGGTCTTATCAAGCGAAACGATCGCTCATTAAAAAAAAAGTTTAAGTTTTATATGCACAAATGTTCACCTTGCTCTGTTCTGCGATGCACGTTCGTGACTCTCCTGTTCGAACTCGTTCATCAAAATGAACGAATCTTTTTTCGTGTAATTTGGTTAATTCAGTGAACGAGTTGACTCGGGAAAAGATTTGTTCATTTTGATAAACGAGTTCGAACAGGAGAGTCACAAACGCACATCACAGAACAGAGCAAGGCGACCATTTGAGCTTATAAAACTTAAACTTTTTTCTTTTTTTAAAAAATGAGCGATCGTTTCGCTAGATTAGACCCTTATTCATCATCTGGTGTCGTTTAAAGCCCTTTGAACAGTTTGCACTGAAAATGTCTTTTGGACCTTGAACCGTTTGGTCCCCATTGAAGTCCATTATATGGAGAAAATCCTGGAATGTTTTCATCAAAAACCTTCATTTCTTTTCGACTGAAGAAAGAAAGACGTGGACATCTTGGATGACATGGGGGTGAGTAAATTATCAGCAACAGTTTTTTTTAAATTGAACTACTCTTTTAATAAAGCACACAGTGAAAATAGGCTGAAAATGGCCAAAAAAAATGTAATGTGTGTGTGTGTGGGGGGGGGGGGGGGGGGATGGGTATAACCACTTACTGTGTGTTTTGCGTACGATTGTTTCTCAAGAACAGATGAGAATAAATTCAACGAGAATAATTTATTCAAACCTCTTAAGCAGAGCTTATGTATCATCATATTCATCAATTATTGTACAGAACAATAGAAATATCTGATATTTATATATATATATATATACTTTAATTCTGCATTCATTTCCATACACACACGCACACATATATATTTCCTTTGTTTCTAATTCCTTAAATATATTTTCAGATGAAATGGAGTTATGCTATACTCCTATAAAACAACCACCACCGCCATCACAAAACACACACATACACACACAGTCCGTGTTTGTGTGTATGTATGTGTGTGTGTGTAGGTTAAAAAGAGCGCACTTAAGCAATATAAACGATGGGTTCTTTCATTGAGTTCTGATCTTTGGAAGACTGATTCTGCTTATGGTATTAAAATGCTTACATACTTAATCCTTATATGGTTATTATTGGCATTATGATGACTTTTTTTAAAGATTTTTTAGTGCTTAAAGTCAACACGAAATAGCTTGTAACCCATTTTTGTTTCATAAGCCTAAATTTTTTTTCCGATTTAAAAAAGGACATTCAATGATAAAAATGTAAGGTAAGGCTTGATTTTATCTATCGCGAACTGATTGGATGGTGAAAAGTCACTAGCGCTTAAAAATAAGAGAGCTTGACGACATGACGCCAAAAAGGAAAAACATTTGTTTTCTTTGGAATAATGTGAACTATTTAAAAAGTAAATGGGGTCTATTCTGATTTCATGTTGACCTTAATCATTACATTACCAGATGAATCAAAGCCTGTACGCCATGATGCTAAAATATGCACAGTAGCCTCTTTTTTATCAATATAATATTACTAAAATTCAATACACTTTTTGATATAGTCCTCCCAAAAAACAATGAAAGAAGTACATTCTTTGTGTGTCTCTGATTGGCTGAAGAAGTTTGCCCATCTGGCTTCAGCTGAGATGACAAACATTTGCTCAGAACGGCGGAGACGATGACTTTAGCGTTCACTCGGCAAGAGCGTTTGAGTATTTCATAGCACTTCTCCTTTGCAATCCTCCCCATCTCTGTCCTTCAGTGGAAGTCTTTCCCTTTCATCCCAAGTGCTTTTTGTCTAACCACGTTCTTTCTTTCTTTCTATCCTCTAACTAGTTCTCTCTAATTCTCCTCTAGCTCTGAGTCGTATCATCTCTCTGCCCTTCAGAAGAAACAGTGGAGACAGAGAAAGCAGAGGAGAGCCTAGAAAACATGGAAGGGGGAAAGGAAAAGAAAGGAGGCAGAGCATGAGGTATAAGAAACAAAAGTGCTTGATAATCTAGAGACTAAGATGAAGAATTTGGCATTCAAAAAGCAATTAGTTACATTAGTGTGCAGTGTGTAATTATAGGGCATGTGTCGGTTGTGCAATTTTAAATAAATGCCATTTTTAACAAAAGGAATGAAATGTAATTAAATTGATTGGTGTTTTCTTAAATGGAATATGAAAAATCATAACTCCTATACACTACCAGTCAAAGGTTTAGACACACTCGACTGATTTTATGTTCCTTTCAACTTGATTTTAGGTTGACGTTTGAGGCTAAAGGCTTCTCTCTATGTTTAAATTTAAAAAAAAATAGAAACTACACGTTGATGTGAAAACTTGTACGTTACTGTACGTTCACACCGCCGCTGACTTGAGCGTCAAAGAAGCTCCGGCCGCCGTTGAGGACGCTTGTCAAAAAGTACAGGGAAGCTTGTTGACGCTTTGGACGCTCTGACGTTGCAGGGAGAATAGAAGTGTCACAACATAACAACAGAAAAAAAACAAGCAATACATTAAAGAAACCTTTTTTAATGACACATTTGGTCGGGAAAAAAAATAGTTAGCTATTATTATTATTATTATTGCGATCAAATCGGTGTCACCGTGAGCAAATTAATTGCATTCCCGCTTTAAAACGAGCGTTCGTAAATATTTCAAATAAAAGTTGCGCTCATGCGGTCCCTACAAGCAAACAACGTCATGTCATAAATGATACGAAACCAGTAGGAAACACATCAACGGCGATGATTAGCTTCAACCAGAGAATGTCTAATTGAAGAGAATTGGCACTGGCTGGTTACTTCCGGGTTCTGGACTGGCTGCAGTGACACGCGTTGTCCATGCGGGGGCGCTTGCGGTCGAGTGCAGAATGAATGGGAGTCAATGGGGTTTCAGCCACAGAAATCCACTTTTCTCAAGATGTAATTTTTTGTCAAGTAATTTGAAAGTTGCATTAAAAAGGGAGGGCTAAGATAATACACTCAGCTGAAAATTGCATTTTTAAGTTCACTTATCTGTTCTAAAATGTGATGACGTCACACAATAGCAGAATGCTAGCGTGTCCCGGCCAACAACGGCCTAACCTGCAAGAAATCAAAAGGACATAAGTACTCGTTCATTCGACTTTTGGCCTATAATCTATATTGAACTTGCGGAATCAACAATAAAATCTATTTTGATTTAACGACAAGCAGGTGAAAGAGACACATTTAGCCGTTTAGCCCCATAGACTCCCATTCATTCTGCACTCGCCCGTGATCACCTCCAGTGGAATTCTAATGGAACTGCAACCAGGATGACACACAACGGGCTAATAGGAAGTGCCGAGGCTCTCCGTTAGACGGGCTCTGCTTCAACGGAGCTAATGTTTTGGTAGGAACGAAAGTTTACGTTCATGTTTCTCCGGAATCAGCCAGCACGAAGGACGTCTACTATCCGATTGGTTGCTGGCGTTTTGCCGCTGAACCGCGTCACAGCTCATTACCATAAAGTTGAGCTTCTTTCAACTTTCTAATTGACGCTCAAAACGCCCAAAACGCAACGGCGATGGATTTGACGCTCCTTGCAGCTGAGAAAAGCCAGCTTCCATTGAAAATTAATGACATGCGGCCGCTTTGGAAGCTCAAGTCGGCGGCGGTGTGAACGTACAGTTAGAGAAATATTTCCATTTAGTTTTCATACTTCACTATCACGTTAAAATTAGAAAAATTTACATAGCGAATGAGATGATGTACAAACCTTTGACTGGTAGTGCGAAATAAAACGTATGGTCACAGTCTCAAGAAATGGGTTTTCCTTAACTAATCTTCATCTTAAGCATACAAAAACATTAAGGGCGCACTATTTATTTGTCGAGTAAAGCTGCAGGCAGACATATCCATGCAGAGCTATTTTTAAACGAAATGCTGGACCATTTTTAGAAAAACGAATGTAAAGGCTTTTTTTCCAGTTTAAAAAATAATAATTTCCCCCTCACTACTTCTGTCTAGTTTGCTTTCGAATGTTCTTCGAAACAGGTCCTCGTCTGAAACTACCCTTCCCCTCTTCCTATCTCACCTGTCCGTAAGTCTCTTAAGCGCACGCTCAATGTTCATGCGATGTCCGACCCGACTCACACCCAGATCCAGGAAGTCCTCTTTTGTCAGAGATGGCAGGTGGGAGCCATCGATCTCGTTGTCGAGAAAACGTTCCCGGTGCTCTGCCAGATTCAGGTAAATCAGCCAATCAGCAACATCATATTTGCTCCAGTAGGGGAGGGGCTTCGACACAAATGGCTGATTGGGTGGAGGAGGCGTCAAGGGCGGGTAGCCCATACAGGAGGGGGAGGAGCCTCCAGACAGGTAGTTGGTAGGGGAGAGTGACCTAGAGACAAGCGCAGGGTTAGGAGGAGCCACCGGAGACGGGAGCGGGAAGAGAGGAGAAGTTTGCGGGAAAAACTGGTCTGAATATTGATGGGCGACTCCCAATGGGGGTGTTAAAGGGGGTTGGATTTCAAACAGAGAGCTGTAAAGAGGCGCAGACGGAAAGAGAGGGAGCGAGGATGGACGCGGAGGTCCAGGTTGCGGGTGGTCCGAACAGGAGATGAGGGGACTGGGCGCTCGACGGCGCTGAGTGTACGAGTGAGATTCAGAACGCCGCAGCTCCGGCCCGGAGAACTGAAACTCAGAAACTTTTCCACGATACTTAGAGCGATGTTTCGGAGACAATGGATAGGGGGAATAGGATGGAGAGAGCGGGGGATAAGAGACAGCGGAAGGTGAGATGGGCGCATGAGAGAGAGATATTGGAGAAATGGGAGGATGAGGTAATGAAGGAGGAGAGAGGGGCGCGTGAGCCAGGGAAAGCGGAGAGAGGGGGGTGTGGGGCAGTGACGGAGGGGACAAAATACCGTGAGGAAAAGAAATAGGAGAATTAGATGGTGTCCAGTCTTTGAGAGGGGGTGGAGCTGGGGTTGGGGTTAGAGGTAATGGGATCGGGATTAAGACCGGGGTTAGAGTCGATACAGGAAGAGGAGACGACGGTACGGGGTTCAGAGCCGCAGCGGGGGAGTTGGACGTTAAAGAGTTAGGGGGCAGGTTTGGAGATAAGGAGCGTTGGAGAGGCTGAACAGAAGCAGGGATGAGAGGTGCACAGCCGGGAGGCGGGATCACCTGGAAACCTGAGAAAGAGAAAGATAAAAGTATGTAAACCAGAATAAAGATGCATGCCGGTGAAAAAGTTCACCGCAATAATGCTAAGGTGTTGTGTGTGGTTGCCAAAGAGAACTGAGAGGTTTTAACTTGTTGGGTTGCTATGATTTGAGGTAAAGTCCAGGTTCAGAAAGTAAAGTATTTTGTTCTAATCACCTGGATTTGCTAATTAGCACAGTTAACTAATTAGTGAAATCAGCTGACGGAGTTTATGGGTGGAATAAACATATGGCAGGACTTTTACTTTATGACCCCTGGACTTTACACCCATGTCCATAGCACAAACAGGGTAATGGTGCGTTCTATAGACCCTTTTACAGTTGGTAAACATGGTGACGTTTTTTTGTGGGCGGAGCTTAGTTGGAGGCAGAACGATCCCTCTGGCCGCTTCACTAACGCTAGTTAGCAAGTTTCATTAGCTTGTTTTTTTTTAACAATGACTGGAGAAAATCAGATTTTATCTTAATGTGTAAGGTCACTCAGTGTCCAGGACCGCGATTGTTATTTCCAAAAGTTATTTTTAACGGACAGAACCAGATTGGCCGACCCGTAGCCGCCTACACGCTCACTCAATGCATGGACGATCTGACAGGATAACGTTACGTTACCTCGGGTGAGTGGCCTGACTTCTACACCTACCTTATAGAGAAACCGATCGTAAAGAGAAACTGAGGGCTTATACATCTTTAGATGCCTATAACTATGTGCTGAATGGTCCTGTACAAGACGTGTGTGTATGATCCTCAGTTCTGCCGAGCCAGGGCAGAGAAGACGACAATGAAAGAGTGTGAACTCATGTGAATATTTTCTAGAAATAAAAAATCCAGATACAGCATATTCATTTTTCATTGATACTTGCACCAAAAAACACAATAAGATGACATTTAAAAACAATAAAAGTAATTTAAGCTCCTTATTATGCAGCCGAATCTGTGCTGGTTTGTATTGGCCGCCTCCAGTTTTCACTTTGTTTTGCCTCCAGCTAGCGCCGTGACGTGACTGTGACGTCGGGGCAAAAGGGGTCTATTATTCATCCGTCTCAGAGATACGAATCGGACGACAGACGTTGCCTAGCAACACGCCCCCTTTCCTCGGATTTCTCCTCTCGGACGTCGGACAACCGTGAGGACGTCAAGCAAGAATTCCAGATGGCTGCGCCCTGTGACTTGTAAGAATGAATTGTTTTTGAACCGCTTTGGTATTTTAAATGACGATTATAATCACTCGTATTACTGCGTCCCCTGTAGGTATGGGAATCGGTTGTTGTGAGTGCAATTACTAGCGTTGCTAACAGAAGATTAACATGAAAAACTTTAAATAAAGTGAACATTTTCAAGTTCAAATGGCTGCGTTTTGATATGGTGTAGTCATAATGTTTTTATTTTATTGTAAGTGCCTGGTACTCGGCATTACAACAGCTTTCTCCGACTCGGACAAGCAAGACATAATAGAACGCTTGAAGTGTGGACGTGACGTCAAATCCGAGGTCCGAGTCGGTTCGTTGGGTGTAATAGAACGCACCATATGTTCCAGGATTTGTTCAAAGGATTGTTTATTTGAAAAACTGGTTGCATGCATTAGCTTGTCTATAATTGTGACTTCAATGCTGTGGTAAGATTGTGTGTCTATGTACGTGATTGTTTTCACCTATGATTCGGCGGTGGTCCCTGACCCTGCCAGCCCCCAAGCTGTTGTAGTTTACTGCTGAGCTCATTTATGATGCTGGCCTTCACATTGGAGAGAGGAGAGTTGAGACGTCGATCCATAAACGCTGGAATCTTCACTTCCTGTTCTTGCTCCTCCTCTTCCCTCGACCTGTACATGTTGGGAGCAGTGCTAGCCTGCCGCTGTAGCGGTGGTCCGGTTCGCCCATTCTGTGTGTGTGCGTGGTATTTTAACATATTTTGAGTGTGTGGTTTAGCTAGCGGCGGGTTTGGAGGTTTGGATTTATGTACGTGCGGTTTGTGGCTTTTTTGAGCGAATTTATCGGTGTGAGAAAGAGACAAATCCTGGGACACTCTTCGGTCTCCTTTAAAACCATCCCCTACTATCCCGCTCTCCGTACTTTCTCGCCTTCCTTCCCTCTCCTTCTCTTGGCCTCCTTCTCGATCCATTCTTTCTGCAAAGTTTTCCATGTGGTGATCACTGATGCTGTGACTCTCCAGTTCCTCGATTCCAGAATCAACCACAGCCTCCGACCAATCACGCCCCTTAAGTGCCGTTGCTGTAACTGATGTACTTTCTAAAGGCATAGTTGTGGTGACTGTCATTACAGCAGCAGGTGCAGCCATGGTGGAATACGACTGAGACACATTCGCGTGACCTTGGTTTTGGTAGAAAAGTGGTAGAGGTCGATGCAACGACATAGGGTCAGATGAGGAGGTGGTGGCGGGGGCGGAAGGGGAACTCGAAGGAGGGAAAATCTGAGGAGAAGGAAGAGATGGGGAGAGAGCGGACTGAGTCAGATTGGCCACCTCACTGTCATAAGATGTAAGACTGGAAGTGGCAGAGTCTCCCGCTTGTGGCGAGTGTAAAGGTTGGGGTTGGCCAGTGTTTGGGTGCTGGGAATAGCCAGAGGGTTGAGCTATTTTAGGACACAGCTGTGGAGGCTGGATTTGAGAAGTCGGTGGGAAGAGATATGGATGTACCACAGCAGAAGGATGGATGGGTGTCTGCTGTGAGTCAGCATGCATGTTGTCTGGTAGGGACATGGCATCTTGCTGGGGATTGGAAACCATTTGCAGGGAGTGTTGGTCATTGAGTGACTGAGATCCTGACAGCTCCTTCTGTTGTTGTTGTTGTCGATTATATTCTGTTGTTCCATGGGTGTCTATTTCTATCCCGTTTGCAAACTGTATAGGGGGAGGAAGGGGCTCCGCAAACACAAACTCATCATCCACATCCACAGATGGAGCAGGAGGTGGAAGCATCATCACATCGCCACCCTCTCCAACCCGTAGATTTCCCCCTTGCTTCACATCCTTCTCCCCCTCCTTCTGTCCTCCCCTGTCATCCTGGGAATTACTGGTGGGACTTTTGTCAGCCGTGCCGAGTTCACTCTCCTTATCTATGTAGGAAGGCCTGCGGGGAGGAGGCTTGGGCGGTATCCTCTTGTGCCCTTCTCTCTCCCTTTCCCGCAGGTAGGTGTGGTACTGATTGGCTCTGTTGTCCCGGTCCTGAGGGTGAGACTGGTACTGACTGGCTTGATTATCTGTAAACCGCACCTTTGGTGCCCCTCTGTCCTCTCTATCCATAAGGTTCTGTTCATTCCATTCCAAGCTCCCCGTCCCACCGCCAGTCAATCGCAGCATTCGAGGAGACTGGGGGCGACTCTGTGGGCCTGGTCCAACTGTTGTCGGAGAGGCACCACTAAGGTAGAGTGAGGTGTGTGATTGGTATATGTAGAATGGAGGAACGGGCTTTTGGTTTGGAGGGGAGACTGCAGAAGGGAAAACGCCAGTGCTGGACAGCTGGCGGCCGAAGTGCCGTTCCTCTCTACGTGTACGGTGGTCGTCTTTCAGCGCTCGCTCACGTGCTGCCAGCGCGAGTCCAAGCGGGCTTGTTGGGTCTAGAACTTTCCCCGTCAATGGGTGGATGAAGGTGGTTGCTTGATGAGGTGTAGCTGATGCGTACTGCGGCAACCCAAACGCAGGCGGCATGCTTAAGGCATCACCAGAGATCAATCCCTCATCGATAGATTTAGACGAGCGCAAACGAGAGGTGGTGTTGGCCTCCACTGGAGTTTGAGCGGACTCCTTCTCATCTAAAATGTCCTCCTCGGAGGAGTAGTAAAACGAGGCGCTTTTCCGACGGGAATCGCGGAAGCGTTCACGTTCCCGCTGTGCTGTGCTCCTGCCCAGTGTTTCCAGTTTACCTGGGATATTAGGTGGTGGAGCTGGAGTGGGCGTAGGAGCCATGACTGGGTTTTGAGGCTCCTGCTCTTCATTCATCTCGGGAGACAGTTCTGTATCCTCACTGCTTGCACGGCTACTGTGCCCAGAGCTGCTGGTAGATGGCGCTTTAACAATAATCGTTGGGATTGAAATGGAACTTTTCTGCAATTTTTCTCTGCCCGTTGCCTCCTCCACCTTGCGCTGCTTCACCAACAGCCCCTTCCCGACTTGCCGACTTGCAGCCTTAGCCACCGCTTGCGCTTGGTTACGCTGTGTGGTGGACTGTTTGGAGGCCACATCGGAGGGAGGTGTGGCGTTGCTATGGCCACGCCTCATGCCACCCATTCTTGCTCCTCCCATCTTGCTGGTATCAGTTTCAGCCTGTAAAACACAAGATTTAATGCTCTATTTTGTGGAAATACTGGAAAAGATAAGAAAGAACAACTGATGCCAATTCTTGGGACCTTTGACCTATGTGTTCTTAGGCTGAGTTCTTAAAATTAGCTATACTGTGTAGTTTTAAATTTGTTTACTTATTTTTTATTAAATCTTTATTATCTTTTTTTGTGCATGTTTGTATCTGGTATTTTATCATGATGTTTTTACTTTTTGTAAAGCGCATTGAAGTACTTTGATGGAATGAATTGTGCTATATAAATAAACTTGTTGTTGTTGTTGTTGTTGTTGTATGTATCAAGCTCTTACCCTGCGGTTGGGCGGGACCCTGTGCTGTGTCTGGGTGTGAGGCTGGTGGTGTGATGGAGGCAAAGGAGGGACAGCATAGAAATGTGTTGGTGCTGCTCTCCTATCTGTGTGGCCACCGGCAGACAGGGGCGGCTCAGGCGCTGAGGTGTCGGGTGGAGGGGGAATGTCCTCTGGTCCAGGCACAGACAGACTACGAGACAACTTCATAGTAGGAGGATGGAGATGTACCCTCTCCTCTTCTGTAACTCCTTTAATTACATAATTGTAATTGCGATTACAAATTCGATCAATTGTGCAGCCCTAGTTACAGTGCAATTGAACTAAAGACAGTCCTTCCAGTTTTTTTGTGATTGTTGCGGGCAAAAATCCTTGATTACGCGGCTCGTTTTCTTTAAAAATGCGATGGAATATGCGGGATATTTATGCAATTTTATGCGATGAAATTGCGGGAACTTGCGGTTTGATGAAAAAGAGAAAAAAAAGTGATTCCCCCAACATCCTGTTCTCATAGGCTACCACCTTAATGTAAAGAGTCATTTCTTATTACTTCATTTGATAAGCAAGCATACTACATCATAGAAAGTGCTGGGAATATTTAATTTCTCATCTTGTTTTATTTCAGACTGTAACGAGTGTAAATAAGGTGTGGCCCCTTTAAGAGCTGCGCGCTCCCTGTTGAACTCTCTGCAGTGTTATATTATTTGTTCGCCTCGAACACCCCATGTGTGCGGGTAATTTCTATTTGATGCTACTTCTTTTATCTTATGTTGTTTATTAAGTAACAATGTGACGGTAGAACGTGTGACAGACAGTTATACGAGTTATATTTGTGAGCTGTCAATCGCCTCCGTGAGTCTGTCTGGCCTCTGCAATAACTTCAGCTGTGAGCTCTCCCGTCGCGTAATTGCGTCACTTCATAACTTTCCCATGGAAACAGGGGGAAATGGCTGCTCTTGTGTGAAGCAAACGCAACATTTTTCAACTTTCTGCTAAGATACATGACTTTTTTGCAACGAAAATGCGAGCATTATCAAATTATGCAAACCCCACATATTTTGCACGGAAATCGGCAATTTATGCGGCGATAGTGCGGCGTATTTGAAAAAATGCGGCCTCCGCATAAATATGCGGACTTTGGCTGATTTTGCATCGAATTCAGCGATCGCATAATCGCGTTTTTCTGGAGGGACTGTAAAGAGATGATAACATTTAAACACACCCATGGATTTCTGACGCATCATCATAGCACGCTGAGTTGAATGGCCTGATGAAAACTGGGCTTGGTTATAACCATACCCAGACCCTGATGGCATCATGCCAACACCTGATTGTTCAAAAGTTTGCTGTGAACAAAGAAAAAGACAGATGGGATTAAATATTTATCACATTTCCTTGCTGCCTCGGTGAAATACGGATTACAGCACAATATTCACACATGAACTGCTAGTAAATGTACTTTTTTCAGCAAATACAGCACAAAGGTTGTTGCACTCTTACACTTATTACCAGGTGAAAAGTAGAGCCAGATATATCGATATATCGGCCGGCCGATATTAGGCATTTTCCAAAATATCGGTATCGGCAATTATAATGGCTGATAAATTAATATTTAAAAAATAAAATAAAAATGGACGAAACACGCTTCAATCATCTCCCCTTGGCCTGTTATATTGAAAATGTATGTTTTACAATTTGCAGTATGATGTTATCTATTGCTAAATTATGGCTCATCGGCATAGACTAGCTAACCACAAAGCTAGCTAATGCCACTATCATCAGTGGAAGACCGCTAACGTTAACATTAATGAGCTTGGAAACCACAATGAACTTTTTCTGCCTAATTAAATTAATGATTACTGTATTTATAACTAGCATATCTCTAGTTACAGTCCCTGCATTGTAAAATGTAAGTTAGACTTGCGAGGAGTGAACATTTAGACATAGAGAAAAAGTATCAAACGTATCTTGTGCAGAAAAGTTAGCTTTTCTTTTACACGTGTGTGAAATCCAACAATATTTAATAAAAATAATAATATCGGCCGATATGTCGGATTTTAAAACCCAAAAATATTTGTAACGGTATCGGCCTTCAAAATGAAGGTGAAAAGCCTTACTAGTGAAAAGCCTTACTAACACAGCTTCTCAACACCTACGATCGGGCTAACAAACGTAAATGGTCATTTGTAGCCTATTATATACTATAAAGAACTCCTTTCTTCAACCAAAGCTACCAAGTTTCAAAGCTTCGTACTGTATATAACTCTTCTGAAGCTTATCTTGTAGCTACTTTTTCCAACGAGTAGCTGTGGTTTTTGAGTAAGCTGATGCAATAATCAAACAGGCTTTTCCAAACTTCTCTCTCATGTATAATGTTAGAAAGTCCAATTCATTCTAGTGACTTGTTTTGTTCGGATGGTTCACCGATTTGAATCTCTGCACGGCATTTTAGACCTTATTTTTAGCTGTTCATTAAAATGTTGTTAAAGTAGTTTGTTAAAGTTCATGCTGGTGATAAATGAAAAAATATATCATCAGTAGCTACCATCTTTAAGTAGCTTCGATTGCAGTTTAAATTATGAGTAACTTATGAGTAACAAACTAGCTTTAAAAGTAGCTTCCTCAACACAGTCGAATCACGGTTTATCAGTACAGGGATAAATGAAACAGAGATGTTACCTCATTAGCGTTAAAGCCCTTGTTTCGTTCCTTCTTGCCCCCATGACCTCTGTGACCCTGAGAGTCTGATGTGCTAATTGTCTGTTGAGCAGCGGCTAGAATCTCGTCCAGCTTATCTGGAGAACGAAAGGATGAAAAAAGACGCCATTCATGCTATAAATAATGTCCTTTTATTCAACAGACTGTCAGACTGGAGGTGAAGCCATGTGCATTTATCATAATATACAGTAATGATATAAAGAGGAATGTATAGCAGGAGATAGATGTCATAATTAAAAGGAAGATTTCTTACTAAGGGCCATTTGATAGACACTCTTCTTCTTTTCTGGAGCTTGAGAACTCTCTGAATGATCTGATCATAGAGAGAAAAAAAAAAATCACATTCAAAAAATGTCCAACCTCATAATGATCCTAACAAACAGCTTATAAGGCACATTCATACATCCCGGAGAAACTTTCATGAGCTGCTCTTATGGTAAATGCCTCCCATATGATAATTGTGCTAACTCTAGCTAGTCACTCATCATCATCATCATCATGCATTTGATAACTGACATCCACATGCCCATTAAAGCAAAATCAAAAGAGAAATCACCTGGTTTCTTCCATGGGGTGGCAGCTGTAACAGAAAGTGAGTAATCTTACACATGCAATAACTTTCCACAAGTGCACGCTTTACTGGACAACGTAATATTTTCATATTTAGTTATTTTTGTATCATTCATTTAAATGATTCCCTTGTATCTTTCTCAAGTTTGCAATCTATTTTGAGTTGTCATGGTAACAAACTGAGATGACAACTGACAGCCAACAAACTTTACGTGTTTTCATTGTCACAATTTATAACTAATAAATGTAAATCACATACAGTTGTTCGTTGTTTAAAATCTACCACGACCTCTGGGTAGCAAATGGTTAAGTTAAATGCACAGTGTAATTTCTATTACTAATACTACTACCAACTACTACCAACATTCATATCCTTGAAACATTTTATATGAGAAGACAGATTACTGAAAGAACTCTCTACAACATTTTAATGAGACTCGGATAAAATGGCTCACTCACACACTAGCTCCGCTTCTGAGCGCATAACTCGAACATTTTGTAAAGAAGTATGACGTTTTTTTGAGTCGGGATGAAGTATGACGTCTGCCTTCTAGTGGAGGGGAGGTGGAATGAAATTTGACACCCAATTTGACAAAATCGTTCGTTTTATTCAGTGTAAACTTGACCGTGGCGCCTAGAGGTTATATTTCATTTTGTTTTTTCATTGTGACATTTTCATGACATGTACTATGTTTTAAAAAAGAGAAGAATTTATACATTATGGTTGTGGAATGCAAATATTGTTTTTTGCATCAGTGCAAATATAATGATGAGAATATAAAAAAAAACACTAATGTTTAATTGTCACAAAATTATATATATATATATATATTATGGCTGTCGGTTTAACACGTTATTAACGGCGCTAACGTAAACCCATTTTAATGGCGTTAATTTTTTTATCCCGCGATTAATGGTCTTTTTGTCCTAGCAAACTTTGTAGTTTTTTCACATGCTTTTGCAACAGGACGCGGCAATGCGTCTTGATCCATGTCGCCGTCATCCACTCAAAGCCGGCTCGCAAGCCCAAACGTGTGTTTGCGGCGTGCCTGTTGTTTTGTTTACGGTCTAGATCCGCTTGCGCTTTGGTCGAAGAAGCAACAAAACGTCCTCTGAACCATTGAAATGAATGGGTTTCAGAGCGCAGCGCGAGGACGTTTTGTGCCGCACACACTTGTTTCGGCTTGCGAGCCGGCCAAATAGTAACGTTACTTTTGAGTGGATGACGAGCGCGAGACGCCGAAATGGATGCCCTAAAATTCTGAATGGAAAGTTTACTTGTAAAAAGTTGCCATATTGTCCCATTCACAAGACCAAGTGATCTGTGTTTTGTCGTTGTGAACTGAGCGATCATCATCGCAGCACGTCCAGTCTGAAATACCACTTGATGATGGCCAAGAAAACACACACACACACACACACACACACACAGATGATGCGAATTGTCCACCCCCTCGCCAATATTAGGGCCTCGTCAGTATTTCTTTCACCCTTTTATTGATAGAAAGTGTTACATTGTGTGAGAGATTATTTCTAGGCTTTATGTTAGTGTGAAATTGAACACTATTCCAATGTTATTTTCAATAATAATTTTTCCACTTTTCCATATTGATAAGAGCATTAAAATGAGAAAAAATGTGCGATTAATCGCGATTAAATATTTTATTCGTTTGACAGCACTAATGTATATACGTGTATATATATATATATATATATATATATATATATATATATATATATACTGTATATAGTTGATTTTGTGGCAATTAAGTAAAAAAAAATTGTAAATAATTTTATTTATTGATCTTGGGGTGAATTGTGGATAGTTTTAGGTCATTCACTCTAAAATAATAATATAATGATTCAAAATGAAAGGAGATTTCACAGACCTTTCTCCACTGTGTGCAAAGAAGAGAGAAAAACAAGCACATCATCAGTCAAAAAGATGACAATACATGATAATAAGTTTTGTGATAAAACTGCTGAACATACTAACATGTATTTCATGCATGTATGTGTATGTAAGGTGAGGATCTGTGTTTGTAAGTCTGTACCCATCTCCTCCAGTTCTGAAGTCATGGATTTGGAGCGCAGAGCAATAGCCGGAGGGGTCAGCCGCTTACTTTGCTGGGGAACTAAAGGTAAGGAGAGAGCGCTATTAAATCAAATCAAAAACGGTCTGCAATGCCATTCATCCATCCTCCCACAGACAAATCCACAGTAAAAGCAGACCCTGACCTTTCTTCTTAGGCATTTCCTCCATCTCAGGATTTCGTGCAACCATGACGACCTTCACCATCAGACTGTTCCCGCCCTGGCGAATCATGTTCACCACCTGCCTGTGACCCACCTTCACTACATTAATCCCATTCACCTGAGAGAAAAAAGCGATAATGACGACACTGTACGTTGAATCAATAGTAACATAAAGGGATAGTTACCCAAAAATTACCATTCTGTCATTATTTACTCACCCTCAAGTCGTTTCAAACCTGTCCCTCTATTGACGGATACGCAGCTACCACTTTGATGCTTCAAAAAGTTTATAAAGAGATTGCATTAAAGGTTTAGTTCACTTTAACTTTATCTTTTCAAATCTTTTTGAGACATTTGGTTCATTCAACGAACGAAATGAAACAAATGACTCAAAAAAAGATTTGTTCATTTTGATGAATGAGTTCGAATAGGAGAGTCACGAACGCGCATCACAGAACGGAGCAAGGCGAACATTTGTGCTTATAAAACTTAAGCTTTTTTATTTATTTTTTAAATGAGCGATCGTTTCGCTTGATAAGACCTTTATTCATCGTCTGGAATCGTTTAAAGCCATTTGAAGCTGCACTGAAACTCTCATTTGGACCTTGAACCGTTTGGACCCCATTGAAGTCCATTATATGGAGAAAATCCAAAAACCTTAATTTCTTTTCGACTGAAGAAAGAAAGACGTGGACATCTTGGATGAAATGGGGGTGAGTACATTATCAGCAAAAGTTTTATTTAAAGTAAACTACTCCTTTAAATCAACCCAGCCTGTGTGAGAAACAATGAGGCTTCTCGTGTTACGCAGCACGTTTGAGCTTCAGCAAATGGTTTGTTCTCGTGCATCAAATCGGTTCTGTTTATGTTCACTAAACAATGTTCATATGTGACTAAAAGCCTAAATTAAATCTGTTCATCACATAAAACAAAGTCTCTTCAGAAAATTTGGACTAAACTGCTCAATTCATATACAGTTTTACGATCTTTTTATGAAATTTACATTTTTGGAAGAGTCAAAATGGTAGTTGCCTAGCTGTCAATGGAGGACAGAAACGGCTCAGATTTCACCAAAAGGATCATCACTTGTCCTATGAAGATGAACGAAAGTCTTACAGGTTTGGAACGACATGAGTGTGAGTAAATGATTACAGAATTTTCACTTTTGAGTGAATTATCCCTTTAAAATATTTTCTAAGATATGCAAAGGTCTGGGGGTCTCATTACATATATTTAGTAAGGATGCTTTGAATTGATCAAAAGTGACACTAAAGACATTTATAATATTACAAAAGATTCTATTTCAAATCAATTCTGTTCTTTTTAACTATCTATTTATCAAAGAATCCCAAACTAATCAAGGTTTCCACACAAATATATAATACAGTATATTATAATATGTAATATAATATTTTAAAAAGCAACAAAGGTGATTTCAACATTGATTATATGCAAATCAGCATATTAGAATGATTCCTGACGGATCATGTGACACTGAAGGGGTAATGATGCTGAAAATACAGCATTGCATCACAAGAATAAATTACATTTGACAATATATTCAAATTAAAATGCAATAATTTTTTAGAATATTTCTGTTTTTGCTGTATTTTTTATCAAATAAATGTAGCCTTGGTGAGCACATCTTACCGACCCTAAACTTTCAACCACATTATTCACTTCAAGTGACTTTCACGGCTTTACAAAGATTGTTTTTAAATAAAATCATATTTGACAATTATATAAGAAAGGAAATTTGATTTGCAGTTTAGAGAGAGAGAAACGAGAAACACAAGTGGGCGTCTTAAGTATTATCATCAGACTTGTTTCAAAATGATTCAACATGATTCACACTCCACATTAACCAGCCGGGAACCGTGAGGTGAAGGTGTTTGCTAACAGGCCGAAGCGTCTGGAGATGCATCAATACAAATGTACTTTGCCATACCAAATAGTCAAGATGGCATATACAGGGTACGCAAGCTCCACGTCATCTTCTCTTGCAGAATCAAATTAAAGTCAGTAACACAAGTATCACAGTGAGGCTTATCACCTCAGTGTAGGTGTTAAGATTTGTTCAGTCAAGGGTTTAACACCTCACAGACAGGAGACTATACCGCTAAACTCGTTTTGGCTTTGCATTCTGCGTTCGGTGGCTCGTTATCTAATAAAACCCGAGCATTAATTGTCTAAAATGGCTGCATCTAAGGAGGCGAGCTCTTTGCTGACCTCGATCAGGAAGTCCCCCATCCGCAGACCGGACCGCCACGCGACGCCCCCCTCGTCGACTGACTCCAGATACTGCAGGGCAGGGAAGGCCGGAGTCGGGCTGAACTCCTCCACAGGAGTCTGGGCTAGAGATCATAGATCATAATCACAGATCAGATCGGTCCTGCTGTTATCAAACCAGAAAAGAGCTCGTTGATGTCCATCACTCACCTTTGGCCCCTCTGAGCACAAAACCAAAGCCTTCATTGTCTTTTTTCTGCAGAAGTACAGTTTTCTCCTTTATGATGTAGTCACTGTCAGAGAGAAAAGACAAGAGGTGCTCACATGAAACACTCAAGGCTCAAAATTAAAGGGTAGTTCACTTTGAAATGAATTTTTGGTATGTTTTATGATTTTTTTCTTTGTTTCCTCAGTAGTTTCAATTTTGATGTTTTTAGGTCAAACCGTTTTGTCAGTCAGTCATATAATGGATGTCTATGGTCACCACCTCAAAGAGCATGCGCAGAGAAGTCCAGATTAAACATGATTTAATGACTCGTAAATGTAAGTACACATTGATGGCCTAAGACACGAAACGAGCGGTTTGTGTGAGTAAATCTCTGTGTAAATAATAAGTGACGTACACACACGAGAGATCACTTCCGGCGCTTTCCTTAGATTGTACGTGGCTGTGGTTACAATTGGTCAAAGGATATAAATACTGTTCGTTTTCTCACACAAACCGCTCGTTTCGTGTCTTAGGCATTCGATGTGTACTTACATTTACGAGACATTAAATCATGTTTAATTTGGACTTCTCTGTGCATGCTCTTTGAGGTGGTGACCATAGAGATGCATTATATGACTGACAGACAAAAACGGTTTGACCTAAAAATATCAAAATTGAAAATACTGCGGAAACAAAGACCCCTACATCTTGGATGCCCTTGAGGTAAGATAAAACATACCAAAAAATTAATTTCAAAGTGAACTATCCCTTTAAGAAGTGTCACCGTTTGAGAATATCACTCTGGGTTATGATATAAAATATTTTAATTCAGTTAGTTGCCAACGCCAATAAATAATTAAAAAAAAGTTGTACTAAAATAGCTATACCTCATTAATAAAATCAATTAAAACTATATAGACATAAAACTAATAAAAATGACAAAGAGGTAACAAAGTAACTTGACTTTTAGTCATTTTAACATTTTATGAAAACACTATGCAACAATAAAATCAAAATATTAATATAAAAACTACACTTGTAAATGAATGATACTAAAATAGCACTGTTCTGAATTCTCTTTTGTGAACAACCCATTTTTAACCGTTTCCAGCACGTTCCTTCAAGAGTTCCAGCATAAAGTGGTCAAGCTGTGGCTGGTAAACCAGTTAAAGTACAGCTTTCATTAGGTATTGACCAGCTTGGACCGGTTAGAAACCAGCTGCCATGTTCCAAAACACAAGCTCAAAAATAGATTTTGAAATGTCATATATGTTGGATTTACAGTAGCAACGATCACGCTAGTAACTATGCTATTTTGGCGGACACTATGGTTACCATGGTGAATGTATGAGGGTTTGTAGAAGTGTGCAGTTAGTTCAGAGCAAAGACAATGACAGTTATGTTTTGTCAGCTCAGCTCTATCATTTTGAACATTGTGTGTTCTGACTGCAAAATATCTTTGTTCTGATGCTTAAACGCCTCTAAAGATTCTAAAAACCTTTTCCAAACATTCCATTTTGGAACATTCCAATTTGAAATATACAGTTTGCCTAATGTGAGTATAAACCACTGATCTAGATTCTATATAGAATGTTATTATAGATGTTATATGTATAGATATGTATATGTTATATATGTTATTATATATTTAAGGTCAGGATGTTCAAACAATGCTGATCCAGGGACGTTTTTTTAGAACATTTATCTAACATAATAACCACAGAACATGTTGCTAACATGCACGTCACTTTTACATAATGTTATCCAAAACAAATGTTAAACATTCTCCATTATTAGATTTACATCAGCCTTTGTTGATCAAAATGGATCTCAATTTACTAAATCAACAAAAAAGGACTTTATAGTGCCTGCGAGCTCTTTCCATTAGCTAAATCTGTAGTAATATTACAGTCTTTATCTTCTTCTTCCACGGGCATATAGATAAGATCCCCATAATCCTGGAGATCCATTATGGAGACAGCACAGTTAGCAATTTAAAATTAGCATATTTATCCCACATTCAGTCAATCAAGGAGTAATCACAACAAGCAAACAAATTAATATTCAGATCATCAGTGTTGGAAAACTAAAAATAAGTTCAGTTTCTGTATATAAAATTGACTTTTTTTTTAAATTGCTAATTTCCTAGAGGTTGAACCATCTCAAATGTGAATCTTTCACAACAGCAGCACTTTCCAAATTAAACACCATCATCATCCATCATGGATACAGCAAACGACCCACAGAACTGGCAAACACAAGGTTTAACACATCTAACAACAAACATATCAGATGTACCGGTGGAAAATGCGGTGATGCAAAATGACGATGTTAACAACAGTTTGGAAAGAGCAAGCATCTGTTTAAATGCATCATGATTATACTGCACTGTACTTAACTACCGAATGACTAACGAAAAGCTAATTATAAACACTTAAGACGAGCCAAAACCCTACTAAAAGGGTCAAAAATCAGATTTTTCCCAAAATCCACCAATTTATGCCACATTTGTTCAATCCAAGAGCATCACAAGATGCTAATGAAATGATATTCAGATTATATCAGCATTGGAAAAATAAAATAAGCTGAACGTCTTTTTTATTATTATTATCATTGAAATTGTGATTTTCAAATACAAAATCCTCTCACGTGACAAGTTCGCTCATTTTCTAGAAGTTGATCCGTCTCGAATTTTACCAGCATTTTCCCACTTTGACACCGTTCAGAAAAGCATCATCATATCGCATTGTGTGGGAATGACTGTGATGCGTAGATGACGATACGCCAGGAATACTCACACACGTTCACGTATATGATCGACCCCGAAGGATCGCAACTTTCTATGATGCACACTTTCACACACACATATACACCCATAGTGACTCACACCCTTTTCAATGATTCACAAACACACATACATGTCACATGAACTGGTTTAAAACACACGCACAGCAGGAAAAGGCTTTCTGACGTGTTGTTCCTCCATCGTATGTACAATGACAGACACAAATGCACACGTATAGACGCATACACACACACACACGCACAGAAGAGGGATCTGATTACGATAAAAGAGCAGACTGTTCACACACACATACACACACACACAGAGATTATATATACTGTATATGAAAACATTGATTCTGCTCAACAGTCTGTCTGCTACCTCTTCAGAGCATCCATCTGCCTCTCTCGCTCTCTCTCGCTCTACCTCTCTCTCCGCAGCGACAATAAAAGAATGGAGCAGCCGATACCTGTAAATGAACCAGACGCTGCGGTTCTGGGGACCGAGCGAGGGCCATGAGGATGAGAGGGAGAGAGGGAGAGACAGGTCTTTCTCTCCGTATCCCCCCATTGCCATGTCCCCCCCCTCCTCCGAGTCCTCCTCCTCTCCGGCCCCTCGTCTCTCAGCGCACACTCGGCCAGAGAGAGAGAGAGAGAGAGAGAGAGAGAGACACCGAGCTAACCTACAAGCTTAAGAACGAGTGAGGAGGAGGAGGAGGGAGAGAAAGGGAGGGTTTAACAGAGCTCACACTCAGTCACTGCGACATTCAGGGAGAGACAGAACGAGGAGGGGTTGTGTGAAAAAAAGAGGAGGGAGAGAACGAAAGAAACAAGTGTGGGAGAGAAACATGCTTTAAAGGAATAGTTCACTCAATCCGGCACTCGTTTCAAACCTGTGTGATTTGTGAAACGCTGCTCTTTCTCGTATGGTGAAGGCATATCGTGAGACGAAGTGTCTCAAAATGACATGTACTGTGGATGTTAACTTTGGATGAGAAATTTTAAGGGAAAGTTCACCCGATGAAAACTCTTTTACACAAACTGTATAGTAAAGTTCATCTCTTCTGCTGAACACAAAAGAAGATTTTCTGAAGAATATGGGTAACCTGACAGGTGACGGAAGTCAATGGGGTCCAAAACTGTTTGGTTACTGTCACTGACATCCTTTTAAAACATTTTTGGAACATTTTACATTTATGCATTTCCGCAGTAGTTTCAATTTTGATATTTGTAGGTCAAACCGTTCTTGTCTGTCAGCCATATAATGGAGGTCTATGGTCACCACCTCAAAGAGCATGCACAGAGAAGTCCAAATTAAACATGATTTAATGACTCGTGAATGTAAGTACACATTGATGGCCTAAGACACGAAACGAGCGGTTTGTGTGAGAAAACGAACAGTATTTATATCGTTTTTACCTCTTGTAACCACAGCCACGTACAAGTGATCGCAATGGGAGACGATTTCAATATATCAACAGACACGCTGAATCACTTCCGGTGCCTGCACAGACCGAAGCGCCCGTGCCTTCAGATCACTTGGACGTGGCTGTGGTTACAAAAGGTAAAAACTAAATAAATACTGTTCGTTTTCTCACACAAACCGTTCGTTTCGTGTCTTAGGCCATCAATGTGTACTTACATTCACGAGTCATTAAATCATGTTTAATTTGGACTTCTCTGTGCATGCTCTTTGAGGTGGTGACCATAGACCTCTATTATATGACTGACAGACAAGAACGGTTTGACCTAAAAATATCAAAATTGAAAATACTGCGGAAACAAAGACACCTACATCTTGGATGCCCTTGAGGTAAGATAAAACATACCAAAATTAATTTCAAAGTGAACTATCCCTTCAAGCAGTAAATCGGCATATCAGAAAGATTTCTGAAGGGTCAAGGGTCACTGGAGTAACGATGCTGACAAAATTCAGGAATAAATTGCTTTAAAATATATTACAATAGAAAACAGTTATTTTAAATTGTAATAATATTTCACAATATAATACGGTTACTGTTTGGTCAAATAAAGAATAAGAACTTTTTCAAAAATACTAAGAAATGCATAAACATTCTTCACAAATCGAAAAAAAAAATAACCGAGTACAGGTTTGGATCGACATGAGGGCGAGTAAATGACAGATTTTTCATTTTTTGGGTGAGCTAATCCTTTCATACAGTACTGGAGATAAATTGTGGGATATTGATGAGTGGGTGAGAGAGATGCGAGCGGATAGTGGTATTCATCACACACTCGGCCTGCATGGCAACAGATGATCAAGACAGCTTATATGTGCATGGACACACACACACACACACCCATGCATACAGTACACAATTAGTTGTATATAACACATCCTATGCACACAATTTTACATATTCACTGGAAACCAAGCCTTTTCAGCTGATGCACCGCGAGAGAGAGAGAGACCGATCTGAGCGGAGAGACAGCAGTGGCTCACACCGCATGTGTTAATATTCCACATAAGAGCCACAGATCCAAACATTGTTGTGTAATTTTTTGAAAGTGGCTGTGACATTTGCATACCCGTCTATTGGAGGCAGAGACTCGCTTTTTGCACCTGCCAGCAAACGTTAGGAACAGGAAGTAGCAGATAATCTTTCTTATGGTGAATCCATTTGACAAAAAAAAAACATCAACAGATTTTACTGGATCAACATGTACAGTTTAGTTTATACTTGCACAAACACACACACACACACACTTGGTTCACTATTTTAGTGAGGACATTGCATAGATTTCCATTGATTTTGGCCTAACCCAAACACTACCCATCACGGAAACATGTTTGGCCAATTTATAAACCTTCTTAACGATCGAGGACCAGTAGAAATGTCTGTTGCCTAGGCCTGTCACGATAACAAATTTAGCTGGACGATAAATTGTCCAAGAAATTATTGCGATAAATGATAATATTGTCGTTCTGAGACCATAATGATAATGGCATAATAATGCAGGTACATCTCTTCAAAGATAAACAAACTTTTATTTCTAAAGACTATTTAACACTGAAAATTAATGAACAAACCCAATAAATGAACAAAACGACCAAAAACAATAAAAGCAATGTCTCTGTTAACACAAAATGCACTTGAATAAATACCAAAAACAATAAATAGAATGGATGTAAACAAAACCCGACCCTACCCTATGATAAATCATTTGTTATTAAAGCACAAACCACTGTAAATTTAACATAAAAGCAAGCAGCTACTGCGTGAACGGTCTGGCATGACTGAATGCTCGCAAAGTGCACTCCCTTAAAGAAAACTCTTTTAGTTTATTCTTAGCTAAAAACACTTAGTTCTTTCAAAAATATGTGTGCTCATTAATGTATATTTACTTCGTTCAAGTAATAAATTATTCTCGTGAGTGTATAATATGCCATTCGGGTAAGGGGATCTAATGTCGGTCGCCATCTTGAAAGTACATTAGCCAAAGCTTAATTCAAGCTTCGCCTTTCACGTTTACGTTTGAGTTAACGCTCATGGACGAGGCCGAACTGGAAGCCATGTTAATCTTGGACTACGTTGGCCACCGTAGGAGTTAAAACGAAATCGGAATTGAGAGGAACAGAAACTAATATTCACTGGACGGTCATATACCTTTTCACCACTAGATGGGGGTAAAAATCACACAGTGTAGCTTTAATAATTCCTAAAAAGCTGACAGTTCATCGCGATCTTACACAGCAATGTTATCACCAATTAAGTTGTATATCAATATAACACTGTTATAATTCGAGGATTTGCCAGCATACAGAATTCAGCACTGACAAAATGTCAGTTTCGAGCGGTGAGGGAAGTCTATCTTAAAGGGATACTCCACTTTTTTTGGAAATAGACTAATTTTACAAATCCCCCAGAATAAAAAACAGTTGAGTTTTACCGTTTTCGAATCCATTCAGCCGATTTTCTGATATTTAGAAGAAAATCTGTAACTAGACAGTTTCTGGTCTCATTGACTTCCATAGTAGGAAAAAAATATACAATGGAAAAATCGAAAAATCGACTGAATGGATTCGAAAATGGTAAAACTCAACTGTTTAACTCTGAGGGAGTTGTAAAATGAGCCTATTTCCAAAAAAAGTGGAGTATCCCTTTAAATGCTTCTGATTGGCCACTGCGTTCAAGAAATCAACACATGTGTCTGTGATTGGCTACATCGCTCCGCACTGCAAACATGTTATCTATAGAAACTCTGGCCAGTAAATCGTTTCTACTTTGTTTTAGTTGCTCTTGTTGCTTTTCTGCAACAGATGACTAAAAATGTATTCGTTTTTATGTTTTATAGATATTTCTGGTTTGCGGGAGTCCCGCGAATTGTTTTATTCTCTCGCAATCCGCACACACAGAATGAGTGCGTTACCGCCAGCGCTTGGCCATCAGATCTGCCCGCCTATTACATTGGGAGTGCACGTCTCTGGATCAAGGGCCCGGCCCGAGGATAGTGACGGGAAAAATCGGCCTGACCCCAAGTTCGGCTCTGGCTCGGGCAGAATAAGCTGTAGTTCACTTCTCCTACGCTAAGGAACCGAGAGTTGTCATTCAGTCTCTTTGGTAGAGAGAGAGAGAGAGAGAGAGACGAGGAAAACAAACAAGCTCATTTTTTCTTGCGATTAATTGATTTATTGACTATCACGACAGGCCTTCTGTTGTCACCCTCTTTGGTAACACTTTATTTGAAGGGATGTGCATAAGACTGACATGACACTGTCATGAACATGACATAACACCTGTCACGAACATGAAGGAGTCTTTATGAATGTTTATGACTGTTGTCATTAAGTGTCATTCGGTAAATTATGACACTTTTAATGCAAAGTTGACATTGTTTAAAATGTCTTTGTTATGACAAATTGACATTAACCAAAAAATTATAACCTGTCACAAATATGTCATAACAGGTCTAATTATCAAACTTAAAGAAGTTATTTAGCTTTGTGTTAACATTACATTACCCTGGTCATATGTTATGGATGGTTTTAACTTTGGTTGTCATGACACCATTATAACTGAAATGAATATTTTACTTGTCCTCAAGTAAAGTGGAACACATTGTACTAGTTATAAAGATGTCATTACACTGTTATTACACTGTCAAATTCTTCAAGTAAAACCTCAAGTAAAGTGGAACACGTTGGACTAGTTATGATTTCTTGGTTAATGTCAAGTTGTCATAAAGACATTTTTTGTCTTTGTTAATGTCAAATTGTCATAATCAAGTCATTTTTGTCTTGGTTAATGTCAGGTTGTCATAACAAAGACATTTTAAACAATGTCAACTTTGCAATAAAAGTGCCATAATTTACCGAATGACACTTAATGACAACAGTCATAAACATTCATAAAGACTCCTTCATGTTCGTGACAGGTGTTATGTCATGTTTATGACAGTGTCATGACAGCCTTATGCACACCCCTTCAAATAAAGTGTCACCCTACTCTTTCACTATACATTTTGGCCCTCACAAGTAAAGCCAAACCTGTACACACACACACACACACACACACACACACACACACAAATCTAAGCTAGAAATGCAAAATGCACAGCCAAAGTGAAACCACGATTTTAGTTCAGTTTTTAATTTATATATTATATCAACAAGGAGTTTTATTCTGAACACATATTTCTACTGTACCTAAAGTATTTAGAAATTATGGAATATTAACTTACATAAGTTTGATGTCAGTCGTTTTTATTTTGAAAGAAAGAAATAAATACTCTTATTCAGTGAGGATGCATTCAATAATTGAACTTTCTATTCATCAAAGAATCTGGAAAAAAAAAAATGATCTCAGTTTCCACAAAAATGATCATCATATTAGAGGATCATGTAAAGCTGAAGACTGGAGTACTGATGCTGATACTGCATATATAAGATTTTAAAATCATTTCTACACAAGTTTAGCTATATAATTTGCTGATCATTTAATTAAAATATAATTGTTAAAATATTATTAAATATTACAATAATAGTAAACCAGATAAATGTCTGCTTAATTCGAACTGAAATACTCATATTCAATTGCATTTAACATCGTAATATGTGAACACAGATTTTGTTCTGTTCCCACCTGGGCACTTCGAGGCCATCGTACGTTCCTACTGTGTAATGACGAAACAGTTTCCTCTTCGCCTTCTCACTGCGGCTCTCTGAAACACACACACACACACTCCGACTGTTAGCACATGTAGGCGTGTATATCTGTGTAAGTGGAAGTGTGATGTATTCAAATCGATGTGATTTTTGCATATTTGTGTGTTATGCGCATGAAGATTATGTGAGTAGGCAAACCACCACAGGGAAAAGCTCTTGGGGACGTCCTCAAAAAAAGAGAACAGGACCCATAAAGGATTCATAAAGAAATTAATTGACTGTTGTGTTTCAGGATTACGGTTACAGAGTCCCTACAGCGGGAGTGATTCTCTGTTAACTCCCTGAAACGCCTCCATTGTAGTCTTGAGTTTTCTTCCGGGAACAAACACGTCACAATATTCCTCATTTAAATAATTAATGCGCAGAATAAAGGGGGCGGGGCCTGGTTGAGTTAGGCGCAATCACATCAAACGAGTTTTTCAGGTTCGAAAACGAGAGGTGCACAGCATTTTTTTTACGTTGCTAGGAAATAACGACATGTTAGCGACATGTTAGCGTTTTATCAACTTTATTTACTTTCTGTTAACGAGGTCGTTAAACTCCTGGTAACCCGAGACAGCCACCACATGTTTATCCTCCATCATTGCAGTGTCTGGACATTCAAAGCAACTGTAGCTTTCGTCATTACAACGGAAGGCCCGCCTCTCCACTCATTTGATTGGACAGTGTAAAAAAAAAACTGCAATGGGTCCAGCTGACCAATCAGAGCACAGTGTGCATTTCAAAAGGAGGGGCTTTATCGAGACAGGAACTAAACAGAGCGTTACTGACAGACTGGGAAGAGAGGAGCCGCAACAATGAAGAATATGAGAAAAAAATCAACATTCAAGCAGGAAAATCGATTCTAGTAGAGACAAAACAACATTAAGACTTTGTAAAATAGCATAATATGGTCTGTTTACTTTAAAGGAGTAGTTCACTTTTAAAAAAAACTTTTGCTGATAATTTACTCACCCCCATGTCATCCAAGATGTCCATGTCTTTCTTTCTTCAGTCGAAAAGAAATTAAGGTTTTTGGTGAAAGCATTCCAGGAGTTTCTCCATATAATGGACTTCAATGGGGACCAAACGGTTCAAGGTCCAAATGAGAGTTTCAGTACAGCTTCAAAGGCCTTTAAACAACACTAGACGATGAATAAGGGTCTTATCAAGCGAAACGAGCGATCATTTAAAAAATAAATAAAAAAGTTTAAGTTTCATAAGCTCAAATGCTCGCCTTGCTCTGTTCTGTGATGCGCGTTCGTGACTCTCCTGTTTGAACTCGTTCATCAAAATGAACAAATCTTTTTTCGAGTCATGACTCGAAGGGTCCTAGATAAGATCCTTATTCAGTCTGGTGTCGTTTAAAGCCTTTTGAAGCTGCACTGAAACACTCATTTGGACCTTGAACCGTTTGGACCCCATTGAAGTCCATTATATGGAGAAAATCCTGGAATGTTTTCATCAAAAACCTTAATTTCTTTTCACCTGAAGAAAGAAAGACGTGGACATCTTGGATGACATGGGGGTGAGTAAATTATCAGCAAAAGTTTTTTTAAAGTGAACTACTCCTTTAAGTCCACATTTAGATGGGTCAGCAGAAGAACTTGCATTCCCAGTTTTGTTTAAACTTTGCCTCAGATGTTTCTCCTAGTCCTTTTACTGTTTACCTTGACAGAAAAATTTGATGAGAAAAAGTTTGAGTTCATATCGAGATCTTTGACTTTTCTTTCCAGGACCTCTACAAACCTGAGCACTGTTTGAGCCTCTGAATAAAAGGAGTCTTTGCTGTCTAGGTAGGAGACAAAATTGAGATATTAAAGAGAGCTCAGGTGTGTGTTTGTTCATGTTCACTACCTGTGTGCTGCTCCTGGTTTTGGGGCTGCACCTCTTCTACACATTCAGCAGGAAACCAGCCAGTGCGGCCCTTCACTGTTCCTTCCCAGAATCCTCCTTCACCTACGCTCAACACTGAGAGCGAGAAGAGTTTGACAGCACTTTAGTAGATATTAAATATGTAATGATAACATTAATCGGCATATGGAAGGCAGTTGAGTGAAACTGAACAAGACGAAAATGTAAGATTTTTTCATGCAAGATTTTTACATTGACTTGAAGAGAACGACATAATGAGAAGGATCATCTGACCTTTGACCTTGTCCCCTTTGCTGAAGCTGATCTCGCGCTCACCGTGAGCGGAGTGAGATCGTGACGCAACAAACACGCGGCCTGGGACGGCACTGTAGAGCCTCTTCCTCTGACCTCCGCCCCCTCTACAACCGACACACAGAAACACACAGACTGATAACAGTTCACTAACACTAAAACTGTTGCCTTGTTAACGGTCATCTCCCTATTTCAGCACAAATCTGATCTTAAATGGCTGTGGCTCATAAATGCTTAGGAATACAGATCTATTTTTAAAGACACTTAAGATTATTGCAGAAGTGAAAGCAGCTTCAAATAATGAAAGTGTAAAATTTTTTAGAAGTTTAAGTTTACTCTAAAGCAAATGAACTAAACTATATATATATATATATATATATATGTCTAACCCAGTTGTAACAAATTAAATGTTGATATGGCAAAAATTGAGCCTGCTAAAAAGGTTTTAAAGTACTGTGTCCAATGTAATGCAATGTCAAACTTCAAAAGTTTTCACAAAAAATTTAGCTTTTAAATGATACCAAACTTATAATGATTTCTGAAATATGTGATAGGGGAAAATGGCAAAACACTGACCGTTAACAGTCTAAAATTGTTTTCGGAAATTCAAATAAAGCTGAAATAAAATAAGATAAAATGATAAAATAATTTAAGTTGCCTAAACAAATAACTGAAATAAGTTTTAGTAAAAATACTAAAACTAAAATAAATTTAAATTAGAGCTACTGTATATAGAAATATAATTAAAAAAATAAAAAAAAGGACAAAAATACAAACTTAAACTTAAAATGTTGCCCTGGCAACAAACTAAAATGACTAAACTGCAATACAAAATCTGATGAAATGACAAAAACACATTAAATGAAGACTGAAAATATAAAAATAAAAGTTATTAAATACTATATTATATATACACAGGACTAAAATAAGAGTGAAAAGACAGCAGAACACAAAAACACAATAATGTGAACATGCAGGCATAAAGTTTTATCTTATCCAAAGTAATAAAAAAATGGAGTAGGTGGGTGACTTTGTGCATTAGAGCCAATTTATAATGTTGGCTTGGCTTTATTCATAGGGTAAGTGTCCAAGGATTTTGTGCAGGAATGTGATTGTAATAACTCCTTAATATTTGGATATCATCCATTATTGAACACCATGGGAAACCACCATACAGAAATAAGTGATTATTTCTAGGACTAGGATGTAACCAAATGTAAATGTATCCCAGTCTAGTGTGAATATAGACTCCATAGAATGAAGCTTTTAGCCAGATGATTGAATCTTTTACACAGTGGACAGTGTTTGCTTCTAACCCACTGAGTAAGAATTAACTCAGTATGGCAGCGGCGCTTTGGCCAGAAGCCTAACAGTGCAAAACAGTGAGTCAGAGCTTCTGTAATGCTAACATGAGAGAGCAACAGAAATCAGTGCTGACATTTAGCATGTAAAAAACCCACAATGGTAGTGGTAAGGGTCTAAACACGTTTTAACACTTGAAATGTGATGTTTAACAGCAAATGTGCTCTAAACTACACTCTGAATCTATGGAGGAATATAAATGGATGATAACATTTCACCCCAAAAGCAAAAGAAAGAAATAAGAAATGACATTTTGCTTAAAATAAAGCAACGCTGTTTTAGGGCCATTAAAAAGTGTCATGACAATTAAGCTCATTTTCCTTTCTCATTACTGTAAAGCATTGAGACATTTTAATTTTTTTTGTAATTTCCTTTATTCTTAATTGTGATTCTTTTTAGGTCCTCATTATCATGTTTTGTTTTATTAAAAAAATAAAGTTTAGCATAAATAAAGGCAATAAACTACAGTTGATCAAAAGCTAATAATTAATCAAATCATTACAAATTTAACATGCAAATATTTTGTTAAATGATTTAATTTATTATTAATTAAACTCTCAGTGGGTTTGGAAATCCCTGTATTACAGTAGGAAAACTGTGCTAAATTATTATGAAAATAATGTTGTGATGTAAAACAAATTAATTTGCTTTGACTTGAATTTGAATTTGGTTTGAAATATGACCCGGAAGAGTTCCTGACAGCCTGAGATTGTTTAGTCACCAAAGGCACGTTTACCAGCGTGGAAATCAAACGACGGGGTAAATACACACACAAAAAAAGAAGGTAATTACAACCCAGAGGCATCCTGGGAAATTCATTTATTAATTTATGATGCCCTAAGGTGATTCTCATTTCCATTGGTTTGAACTTGGCTTAAAAACAGCTCATCCTAGCAGGAGTCGCTCTTGTTGCGTGTGCTTTACGCCCGCTGAGAGCCTGATGATTGATTTTGTGGCACAAGCTGAACTGTTTTTCCCAGTCCGTAAGATTTGTGCTGTATGTCATGATTTGCTGTGTGTTTTACGAGCGGTTTGTGAGAGAAAACGAACCGTATTTATATCGGTTTTACCTCTTGTTAATACAGCCACAAAGCGCCCGCGCTAAAAACGATATAAACACTGTTCGTTTTCTCACACAAACCGCTCGTTTCGTGTCTTAGGCCATCAATGTGTACTTACATTTACGAGTCATTAAATCATGTTTAATTTGGACTTCTCTGTGCATCTTTGAGGTGGTGACCATAGACCTCCATTATATGACTGACAGACAAGAACGGTTTGAATATCAAAATTGAAAATACTGAGGAAATAAAGACACCTACATCTTGTAAGCTAAAACATACCAAAAATTTATTTCAAAGTGAACTATCCCTTTAAAATCATAAATGTTGCCTTGGCGATTAAGCTGAAGCACTAAAATTACTAACTGGAAATAAATAAAAACTAAAACTGTTTTAAAACAGAATAAATCAATTAAACCTAAACGGCAGAATATTTTTTTATTTTTGAAAAACAAAGACAACAAAAGCACATAACAAAATTACTAAAAATTTGACTAAATGTAACAAAGCTAATTCAAAATATAATTTTATTTCAAATATATTTTTATTTTTTATTATTTTTCAAATTTGTATTATTCATTAATATTAGTCTATTTATTTTATTTCTGTGTTCAGTGAATTGGTTCGTTCAGATGGTTAGTGTAAATGAAATAAAAAAAAAATCACTGATTTGTTTCAACTATTCATTGAGACTCAATTATAATTGAGTCTCAATGAATAGTTGAAATGAATCAGTGAATATTTGAATATATATATATAGTTGCATTTTTACTTTTATTTAGTGTTGTTGGATGAAAATTATGCAACAACAAACCGAGTGAACCTGCCAAATCTGACAAAAATAAACTCTTCGGGGGATTTTTACAGGTTCTGCTTTTGAAAATCATCACGGCAATGTCCAAAGATGACCATTTTTCATGTATCCATGCTCACCCCTGCCTCCCGCGCTGCTTTTGCTGTTTTTCCTGTTTTTCCTGCTTTTCCTCCTTCTCTCCTCCCTCCCTCCCACGAGACGGGGACCGGGTTCGGGCTCCACGGGGACTGCTGGAGCTCCTCAAAGCGAAAGAGGCCCGGCGTTGAGTCTGATTGAAACGAGAGAAAACGAATGATTTGGCGACTGATGTCTGCGATTGTGTGTTCCCTTGATGGCCAGCAGGGGGTTAAGGGCTACCTGAGCAGGTGGCATGCTGGCGGCAGCGGTGGGCATCACTACGGGATCCATGAGCGTTGTCATCGTGTTCTCGCTCTTGGCGCGGAGCAGCGGGTGAGGATGCTGAAGGCCAGCCGTGATGGGCTGATTCAACACAGCGTCCAGAAAGTGAGGAGCGTATTTGGGAGTTTCCAAAAATGGAACTGATGGGAAAGAAAATAAAAGATTAAAGGAGAAGAGGTTACATACAGATGGGCTCTGTTCCAAAACTTAGTGAGCTGCCTTGATGTCTGCAGTCTATATAGGCATCTGCCTTCTAGGGAACTTCAAAAGCAAGCAATTTGGAAAGAGTAGACAGGCAGAAACTAAGTACACGAGAAACACGACACTGTTCCTGACAGAGTCATTTTAGCATGTATTTTTGCACATTTCTATTTAGCCGTAATTCATTTTTAATTTAATCAATTTTAGTTCTTAAACGTCAACTTATTTCAGTTAGTTGCCAAAGCAACATTTCAATTTTTTCCTCTAATATTTATGTTATTTTATTTAAGATTTTTTTTTTTCAAAGAAAAATCACTACAGTACCTACTACTTAATGCACAAAACACAATTTTTTTTTAATTAGATTAAACTGGATTAAATTAGATTAAACTAAAAAGTTTTAATTAGATTAAACTGCTGTTCATCTCTAGTTTGTTTTTTTACACGTCACAATTTTGGCTTCTTGAGACCTTTCAAGACAACACAATCACACCACTGATGTCCTAAAGAGTGGCCTACATTAGACTTCGGTATACTTATCATTTCTTTCCGTCATAAAGAGGCACACTCACCAACATCTGCATCATTGTGATTTTTGATGACTTCTCCAAGTTCAAAATGGCCCGACATCACAGCAACCTGAACAAAAAAAACAGCATTGCAATGTACTTTGCAACAATGCAATCTTTAATTTGAGGATATGAGGACAAGCATTGCAAGCTGCGTTCTAAGAAACAAGCACTTGCGTTTATAATAAGTCATGTGATTAGAGCCGATAGCACAGTTACCTGGAAGGGGGTTTGACCATGTTTGTTCTTGATCTCCTTACTGGCTCCTCGGTAAAGAAGGACCCGAACGCAACTCTCCTGAATGGACAGAGGAGATGTTGTCAATCATTAGTCATTAGACGAATTACCGTAAACTAAAACCATTGAAACATTTTCTTAGTATTTTAAGTTTAGTTTCGTGTTATTTGTTTATTTTTATCTACTGTTATAATTTTTATTTTATTTAATTTTTAGCTTTATTTCTAAATTTATTTTGGTGTACTAATTTACAATTTAGGTTTCATTTTATTTTTTATTTCAGTTTTAATTCAAGTTAAACATTTCAATTAGGCCTTGTCAACACTGTCAGTGAAATGTGACCCGATTTTTTGACCCGAAATGTGTGTTCTATGACAGTGTAAACAGGAAAAAAACGCATGCATTTGGATATTTCGAGATCGGTTTCAGGCCTCATTCATATGTGGAAATAAATCAGATATAAATCAGATATGTGCCAATACGACTGTCATGTAAACAGGCAGATCGGATTTTCGGAAGCATTAGGCGACGTCTCCGCGGTTTAATGACGAGAGCAACGGAACGACGTGTCGTTGTAGGAGAGGAATGTGGACACACGTTGACACAATAGTTTTTGCATGCATATGATATGCACTTTATGGCGTGTAATAGGCACGCACTCCACACCCCTAATACTATTATTATATTATATAATATACTATTTTTGAGTATAAATGGCACGAGAAATCAAATTAATGGTATAGATATGCACTTTAATGTGATCGTGTTGTATGTTCCCACCAGTCCTGAGATCTGAATAACTGAAGCATATGCGCAGGCTGCAGTGATGGCCCTTTTCATCCTCCTCCGACTCAAAATCATGGTGATGTTTGGTGAACTTCGCATTTATCACAAAGCTAGCACCAAGCATATTTTGCGTTCGTCCATCTCTGCAAGAATCGCCTTTAAGCATGCGCGACGTTTCAGATGACACATGAATCAGATATGGGTCACAATTGAAGGAACGTGTAAGCGGATGGTCAAAAAAATCTGAATTGGGCATCAAGACCTGCAGTGTAAACGAGGCCTTAGTTGTCAATGCAACATTGCTAATTTCTTCTGAATTTTTGTTTATTTCAAATTAAAGCTAATTCAAAATATTAATAACAACTATTAAACTTTTTTTTTAATGGAATTGTGAAATAAAACCTCGATCACCTTGTTGTAAAGGGCACATATGTGGAGGGCAGTGTTTCCTGATGCATTCTGGGAAGTGGTGTCTGCACCATAGAAAAGAAGGTGCTCTAAGTGTTGGGCAAATCCATGCTGGCATGCCTACAGTTGAGTGAACAAAACACAGAGGTTAAAGAAATTAGTGGGGAAAAAGTCTGAAGAACAGGGAAAAACTAGAGGAGCAACCTAAAGAGGACAGGAAACTCATAGATTAGAAGACAAGAACAGTGCTGGACGCCTTCCTTTTGTGAAGGTTATTACTGAAAATAATATTGCTGCATCTTGTTGAACCTAAAATATATTATTATTATACTCTTTTTCATATGAACAGCTTAAAATTTCAACATTTTTATATTACCGGTATTACTTAATTATGTTAAAGGTGCATTGCGCAACATTTCATGTTAAAAATAGCCGTTTTTCTAACGATTGTCTGATGTAATGAATGAGCCCTTCTCTGATTTATTTTTTTTTTTTATTTCAGTTTCAGTTTTAGTTAAAGTTAAACTTATTTCAATTGCCTCTATAATCCTGGACAGTGAAATAAATGAGAGGGATTTGGGACGGATTTGACGTCATGCGGCGTCCTGAATTAAATATAAGGTTAATAATTGATATCTAATAGCCTCATAATGTGCATACAATACTCAAAACAACTTCTTTCAGCCAATGCAACTGCTTTGGGGTCCGACTGAAATGCACGACAGTGTATGAAAAATCTTGGCCAGTTAACAGACGTGGCATTCCCTCTTTGAGCATAATTTGTAAAATAAGATCTACATATCTGAATATGTGTGCCGCAAACGTCCTGAAAAGAGAAGCCAAAGCATTTCGGTACATGTCCTCCAAATACCTCCTCAGTACATGTCATAAACCCCGCCCTCTCCATGTAATCAAATAGGATGCAAGTAGGGTTGGGTATCGAGAATCGAGTATCGATTGGAACCGAGACTAACTTTTCGTTTTTCCCGGAATCGTTCAAAAGTTAAAATTTCGATTCCTAGTTTCCATATTCACAGTCCGCCGAGCGGAAGAAGAAACCGCTGAACAACACCAACGAAGAAGCGTCTACCGGAAGTGTTGGCATAACCACGTGAGTCGAACATGAGTACCTTACGTCGGCGATCCAAAGTGTGGCTTCACTTTTCTAAAAATAACGAAATCTCGGCAAAATGCAAAATTTGTGACAAAAGGAGTATTTCTACAGAAGGAGTATTTCCTTCAGAAAGGCCGTTGGTTAGCAAGGTTAGCTAAACTTTTTTGACCCTGCCTCTTAGAAGAATCGGAATTGAGAATCGTTAGGAACCGGAATCGAAACAAGGAATCGGAATCGGAATCAGAATCGTTCAAATTCAAACGATACCCAACCCTAGATGCAAGCCAAACTAAAAAAATCCAATAACACTTCAAATATTATTTCCCAAAGATGGTTTTAAGTGCTACAGCAGACATCCATTCAATGGTTTGTTTTTCCAATAGGTTTGGATTTAGTTGCTGTTTAGTTGGTGTAACGTCATGATTGACAGCTGTGTGTGAAAAGGACCTTGAATTCATTTTTAATTTTATATTTTCCAGTAATATTACAAGTTAACATGTATTATATTACAAAGGTAAGCAACACATTTTCTTTTATGGTTCTAGTTTTAGTTTACTACAATAATCCTGCCCTGCTCTCCAGAGATTCAGTACTGGTCATTAAAAAGCCCATATCGTTTGTCTGAACCTCATTAAATTCCTCCTAAATGGGCCGGAAGCTCAGAATGAAATCTCTGCCTTAACTCAAGTGATGTATGTACTCGGCTCTCAGGGTGTTGTGGGAGTCGCCCCATCATCATATCATGGTGTGTGGGTAACTGGCAGGTAGGTGGTTGTGAATTGGGGAAAAGAAACTGTATTCATATATTTGAGAATTAAAAAGAGAACCTTTCGTTTAATATCAAGCAAAGACAGACATTAGAGGACGATGAATGAAATGAGAGATGAGAGATGGGTACCTGTGAACTTCAACCTCTCCAAACGTCTCTTCATGTCTGATCTATGGAGAGAGACACAGAGAGAGAGAGAGAGAGACAGGGGAAGACTATGGACGGTGTCTGACAGTTGATTCAAAAGCACCTAGATGTTGTTCTTCATTTGTTGAAGGCTTTTATATGGTTAGCTGTGATTGGGTGGAAGAGATTCATGTAGTTTCAGTCTCATGGTGTAGTGTTTATATCTCAGGGTCATTGCTAGCAATGAACTTTCAGTGTTGTGCCTTGACGCAAAGCACTTAACTCCAGGTTGCCTCAGGGAGACATGAGCTGAACTAAATACTGGAAGATGTTTCGGATAAAAAACAGGATTTTACATTAGACGACATGTACAGCCCTGATACAACCATCCTGAATTTTGATTATTGTTGTTTTAGTATTATTTATATATTCTAATAAAGATGTTTTAGTAATTTTGTTCTGTGCTTTTGTGCTTTCTCTTTTTTTAAAGGGGTCATGACATGGCTTTATATGCTCTTGTAAAAGTAATTCTCAGTCAATTTAAGTTATTTTAATATGTTCCTTAAGGTTAATTTATAATATTAGTAACGTTTTTTGGGTTTTTTTGCAATATAAATGGGGAAAATGTATTATGTTCAACCTTTAATTTGACCCTCTGTTTGAAATGATTAATTGGTAACACTTTACAATAAGGTTCATTTATTAAACATTAGTTAATGTATTAACTAACATGAACTAACCATTTGTTACTGTATTTGTTAAAGGGCATATTGCAGGTTAGAGGACCCAACGAGTCAATGCATAGAAAAACAATGTAGGAACTAGATTTTCTTTAAAATATACGTATAAACACGCCACAGAAGCTTCTGCAGTCGTTTTTGTGAGAAAATTTTACTTCCGCGTCTGAAAATGGGCGTGGCGGGCGTGACGCAATGAGCGGGAGAGCGGTCGATTCACACAACAGGAAAACAATGAATCGCAATGACATTTCGGACGCTGAGGAAATTCTCGTATGACGGATCAAGCCATAAAGTTATGAGCCTGCTATGCTAAAGAGATCAGGGACAGGCCAGGATAATGTCAGACAGAATGGTCAGAGAAAAATTGAACTGTGATGTGAGGAGAACCAGTGGAGAACAGGACAGGTGCCTTTTAGGTGAGAGACGTACTTATAGTATACACGTTCGCTAACGATATACACTGTGCTCACAATATTGTACAGATTATTATGATCCTATAACAGGCCAGCAGACATTAGTATGTTTAGGGTAGATTTATATACTATTAAATGTATAAAAACTTTACTTGAGTATATTTCTATACTAAAAGCATAGGCTATACTCGGGTAAATTTTTAATACATATTTTTCACCTTGGTTATAACATAAACAGAACATTAAAGGTTTGAGTATTTAAACAACCAATTTTGTTTTTCAATTACAAGTTTTATTTAGGGCATGACATGACTAAGTTACCTATATAACACTATTTGATGCCATTGGTAGTATACGACGATCAATATTCTTGCTTCGGCATACCATGTTGAACTCCATCATATTGCCGGGATGCTAATCATTTGATCTGAAGTGAACGCTACACACGACCGTGTTTTCCGAGCCGAGAGGAGAAATCCCGTCTCTTCACCTGCTCAACCCGCACCAGGAACGAAAGATAGGCTATATAGCACAGTCACTTTTATTGTAATGGAAACTTGTGGACTCGATCTTGAAGTCCTGACAGGCTGGAGTTTTTGCAATCTCCACAAACACAATATTTACCATGACGATGATAAATTAAAATGCAAAAACTAACGAAAGCACACTGACTGACGAGCGCTCTCACTGAACACCAGCCTGCTCTCACTGAGCCGAGGCTGCGGCTCCCTGCTATGACGTCAAATGACGCGACGTTGAAAAAAAAGCCGTTTTTACTAGCAGTCCAAGAAACGCTCACTTTATCTTCTAAATTAGTGTCCTTATGTTGTTTTAAAACATTTTAAATCCTGCATTAACTTTTCATATGGTATTTTCATACAAGGTTATCTATAAATTTCGATTTTTTTTTTACCTGCAATATGCTCTTTAAACGTTAGTTAACACAAATCCAGCTGTTCATTGTTTGTTCATGTTAGTTCACAGTGCATTAACTAATGTTAACAAGATTTTAATAAAGTATTAGTAAATGTTGAAATTAACATTAACAAAGATTAACAAACGCTGTAGAAGTATTGTTCATTCTTAGTTAATGTAGTTAACTAATGAACCTTATTGTAAAGTGTTACCGATTAATTTCTTAAACTTCAATTTTATTTCAGGCTTTTCATAAACAGTCACTGATTGGCTAAGGTCATTGCATTGGAAACAATATCAACGGCCATTCGCTTTTCTCCAATATTTTAAACCAATTAACTAACAAGCCTTGCATTTTACTTGCATTTTACTCCATCTTTATTTTTAGTTTACAACCCATTGAGTTTTTCATTTTGACATTTTGGTGTCTAATAAGGTTATACTGATAAAGGTTGAGGAATCCCATCCTTTGACACCTGACGATCTCTTCGACAGAGGATAAACACAGTCTAGTTGCTTACGAATACAGACACTCAGTGATGACCATGATGAAACACTCAAGCATGCGCAGGTGTTTAAAATCACAAAAGCAACAATCATGAGAGTTCAAATGTTGTTATTTAATCAAACATAAAATGCTTAAGGCTATTTCTAGTAATGTTTCTATTATAATTAAATGTGGGCCATCAAAGATGTGCAACAGGACCACAGTCTGGCTTTGGAATGAGAAATGTACGGATGCTGATTGGTTTAAAGAGGAAATTTAGCAGCCATATATAGACAAATAAAAAAAGAGATCCAAAAAAAAACGAGAGAATGATGTGTGATTATAAACAAAAACCCACCAAAACGGACACATGCATGCACACATATAAACAAAGAGTCCATAATCTCAGATATACATTATTTCCTTGTGTTTAAGACTAGTGACACAAACCTGGTGTGACTCGTCCCAGCCGTTCTCGTCTCTGACTCCCAGTTGTGCTCGATAGTACAGCAGAGTTTCACAACAGGACGTGTCGCCCCCTGTCAGCACTGAGTGGTACAGCGGCGTCAGACCACAGCGGTCTCGATAATCCGGAGAAGCACCCAAAGACAGAAGAGCCTGAAAATGAGTTATGCACATTAGGTTTTTTGTATTTGTCATCATAAATTTTCTCTGCAAATCATGATCTCAAGACAAAGGAACCCTTTCAAATGACAATTTTTACATTTTCATGACTAGCCTATTTTAAAGTGCCCCATATATGCTTTTTCAGGTGTTACCTTTCATGTAGTGTGTAATAGAGCTGTTTGTGAATGTAAAAGGTCTGCAAAGTTTCAGAGATAAATGGGAGTTATTGTCTCCCGAAAGAAAAAACTGATTCTGAACTGACTGAAGCGAGTCGTCGGTAATTCGTAACAAATTTGCATAATGCAATAATGTGGTCTTCATCTACTGCCCGCGAACAACATCTACTTTGCCCTTCAAACTGCAGTTGTAGCGGAGACTGGAAGAGTTTGAAGAGACTGGTTTGGAAGATGCTGTTTTAATGCGCTAATCAACTTTGATAACGTTCCAAAAGATGTGAACTCGCACTCGAATTTATGAGGAAAAACCGACGCCATCGTTACTGTTCTTATCACTGTGCATCAAGTGCTGTCGACCAATCACAACAGACTGAGCCGTCTGAGAGCAGAGCAGAGTAGACAATCATAACAGACTGCGCCATCTGACCAATCAGAGCAGAGCAGCTCTCAGAAAGGTGGGGTTTAGAGAGACTGAAACCTTTATCCAACCGATTCAGACACTGTGGGAATACAGGTGATGCTGCAATATAGACCATTTTGCAAGATGTAAACAACACTGGTCCAGAAACACTTCCTGTTTCAGTTTGTAACTGTTTTCTTTATTTCACATGTAAAGAAAAAATATTAAAGATGTTTGTTCAACTTTTTGATTCAGTTTTATATGTTCTGTTCGTTGTATTTTATTCCAGCTTTTATGTAGTGTTAAAAAACTGAAACAGGAAGTGCTTCTGGACCAGTTTTGTTCACATCTTGCAAAATGAGAAAATGAAAGTGTTTCTTGGTTGCATGTACACCTGTTGTAGGAGACTTTAAAATAGCATAATAGGGACACTATAAGAGAGGAAAAAAAACTACTTTGCACCTCAAAAGCATTTTGTTCAGTCGTGCTGTGAATGAACTGCGTGTGTTTGTACCATCAGTGTGGATTGGTTGTGTGCTCTGACTGCTTTTGTGGAGGGGTGTGAGTCCGTCTCTGGATCTGAAATCCACATGAGCTCCGTCAGCACCAGAACACGAATCCCTTCCACGCTCAGACACCCTGAACCGCCCAGAGTCAGAGGCGTCTCTGAGAAACAGACGGAAACAGACACGGACATTACAGATGCAAAGAAGAACAGCTTGGTTTAAGAAGAACAGGCAACATGCTAAATGTTAAAAAGGCAAAACATGAGAAGGATTGGAAGTGACCAATGAGCTGCAGGATTACTGTGACATCATCATAATGCCTGTGAGCGACATAATCAACTCTTGCTTATTCTTAGCATCAATGCAATTAGTGCGTTG